GACGACCACTCTTGTTAGTTCGTAAATATGAAACTCAGTAGATTACGCCAGTATGTACTTCTCTACTTGGGTATTGGGGTTGCCTGATAAAACGACTACATCTGTACGTTTTGCTTTTAGCAGCAAACTATACAGCTTTCGATAGAACTCAGCCACTACTTCTTGCGAAGTGCGATTTGTTGAGGGTGTAAGCGGAGATTATGAATAGACATCGAGGGGTATCGCAACCTTTTCTTCAACAAAATCAGTTCAACCGGACAGCATACATACCACCATTCACTAGGATCCAATCAAGTAAGGATTTTTCTGCCCTAGTACTCAAAGCTGTTCCTACAACTGCAAGTTCTGGCGAACTAGGGGAAAATCTCCGTCACCCGTAAGTTGAATTTCACAGTATCACTCTGCTGACCAGATGGGGTTAAGTGAGTAAATACACTCGGGTCTTGTATGTATGTTTCAGAAGCACAAAATACATCAATGGCTCGGCATGCCAGAATTCCGTTTAGGGAGGTCTTTAGTCCGATTCAGTGTAGGGTCCCGACAATAAATGCTACGATACGAATTTAGCAGCGTGATTTCAAGCAACTATCAGTGGTGCTTTTCTGGCTCTCATTGATACTAATGGTAACAGGGTTATGGATTTCAGTGCATCCTTTTTTTCATCTTCGTCAAAGCAGGAAGAATGAGACTTACAGTATCATTGTCGACGGCAGCCTGATTAAGCCGCTGGCCTGCCTAAATTTTTTATACATCAAAATGCATTGTTTTTGCTTCATTCCACATTGTTTTAATAATCTAACTACCACAATAAGACACAATCTTTACTGTAACACAATTTCAAATAACTTTCTGTTTGCCGCTATGGGATTTCTAAAAGGAACAGAAGAAGAACATTGTGGAATAGTACTGGATCAAGCTTCGGATGGAGTAATATTGCTTTGGATGATATATCATCGATTATTACATTATTTGAAGATTCTGGACAATGAGCAGATCCCCTGCAACGAACCTCGCTGAAAATTCTGTAGTTGGGTATACACGCATTATTAATTATTATTATTAAAACTCAGACAGAACACATTTCTTACGTGTCAGGCTATGAACCATGCCTATCAGCTGTACAGATTAATTATTGTAGGCGCGGATCAAGTCACTCTACTCGAACTCATGCAGCCAGGTGAGGGCTTACGGCGAGTTGTCATCTGAACTGGTGACGACTAGTGGTGTCCGTCAAGAATGCCCATTATCCCCTTTTCTATTCAATTTCATCATATATGTACTAATGGACTTAACCCTAAGTGACTTCAGTGACTCAGGGATTGACTTGCTACCAGGGAATAATCTCGTTGGATATGATAGAGAAGATCTGTAGCTCAGGTGGATAATTTTGATGTGGTTTTGTTCTCTGAGCTGGATGGTTAGTTTGCGAAGCTTTCATCGCCCTACTGGGTGACATCTTCAGCGCATACTTCAATTTGAAGTGAGCTTTTAGGTTTCTCCACGAGTTTATTAATCATCTCTCCTGATCGGTGACCTTGGACGTGATTGGTTGTTTATGTGTGTTTTCACACCTTCTAGGTTACTTGTATTGGAATTCATTGTTTCTCTGACTTGAACTTTGACCCTTTGTGTGTGAAGTTTCTTTCTTATCGGTTGATAAATTTTGTCTATCTCGATGTGTCTATTGATTGATGATTCACTGGAATGCCAAGCTTCTAAAAATTCTCTAGCATTCTTGTTGTTTCCTCTGTCTAATATTTGAACGTTGTCCCAGTCGAATTGATGTCCGTGGTTGTCTGTGTGTAGTGAAATGAGGGAGTGTATATCATGTCTTTTGACGGCTAGCTTATGTTCATGGATATGAAGACGAAGGGGACGTCCACTTTGGCCAATGTAGTGTTTTTCACAGTTGTTACAGTTTATTTTGTAGATGATGTTGGTTTTGTCTTCTTTCGCTGTTGAGTCTTTTGGTTGACATAGAATTGAGTGCAGCGACTTTGTTGGTTTGTGTACGACGTCAATTCCTAAAGGTTTGAAGAGTCTTGTAGTGATTTCTGAGATATCCTTTATATATGGTAAGGCGATTTTCTTTGTGTTTTCCTTGGTGGCTTTTGTTTTCGTAGGTTGGCTTGGGGATATATGTCTCTTGATGAAATTCCGTGGATATCCATTCTTTTGGAAGACGTCCATGAGATACTTTTCTTCAATTTTTCTTAAGGTGGGAGTTGACTAAGAATATGCAGACGATATAGTCCTTCTAGGCGAGGAGGCTGATAAAATGCAGAGTCTTCTAAACACCTTGAGCTGCAATCTACGAATGTTTGGCATGCGATTCGCTCTCGCCAAATGCAAGATGATGTTACAGGACTGGACTACACCGACTCCTAGATTAGAAATAGGAAGTGAATTGGTAGAGAACGTTGACCGCTCCACTTATTTGGGAAGTACCATCAGCCCCAACGGGGTGATCTCTGACGAAACCTCAGCACGGATACAAAAGGCTAGTTTCGCATATGCCAGTTTACGCCGTCTCTGGCATAGACGTATATCCGGCCGGCTATCCACCAAAGGGCGGGTGTACTGCTCATCAGTCATTTCGCTCCGTCCTCCTTTATGGCTAGCTGTGAGACTTGGACATTGAGAGTAAAAGACAGGAAAAGATTAGCTGTCTTTGACCATATGTGCCTGCGCTCTATCTCCCGTGTGAAGTGGCTTAATAAGGTGAGCAATATTGAGGTTAGGCCTCAGTCGAGTTCTAGGTAAACAGGGGAAATCAATCGACGAAGTCGTGAAGTTACAAAGACTGAGATGGTTAGGACATGTGTTACGTATGACTAGTCATCGCCTCCCTCGACGAGCGATGTTAGCTAACATAGGGTCAGGCAGGAAAAAAGCTAGCGGCGGTCAGACAAAAACATGGCACCAGTCAATGAAATCTACAACAGTTAGTCTAAGCCACGTAGGAAGATGTAGACTTCCTGACTTGTTGGGGTCCTCGGGACGGTAAAAATCAATGGTTGGAAACAATCGGTGACATGGCTCAAAATCGTTCTCGGTGATGGCTGGCGCAGATGCATCCACTCCTTGTGACTTGTGATCTCCAATGAAACTGTCTTGTTCTTCAATATTACTCTTCTTTTGTCTCACACCTCTGCTTACTGTCTCTATGACGCATTTCTTCTACTTTCTTCTCTTGCTTCGTGTGCTACATGGTGTGGTGACTTGAGCTGCCGCACATATGTGCAAAGTTCTATGTCGAATGCAGACAGACGCGGAGGGATAATCACACACAAGACCAAGAATGGCTGAAAAAGTTCATTGCGCGTTAACAATACAAAATCACATTTCCAATATGCTGATGGGTAAATAATGCTTTCACAAATGCTTCCCTTGTAGACATTTAACCGATTACTACTTAGATCATCAAGTGACATAGGAGAACCAATGAAAACCAAGGAGAACTGGACAGCTGTTTTCCTCCTGATTCAGGTCTGCTGACTCTTCTCAGCAGCACGCACCCATAAACCCACCCGCGGAGGGTGGGGGGCTGTAACTCTAGAACTAATATTCTGTTATAGGTTATTGTACCAAAAACTTTTGTCGAATTTTCTTCAAAACTAAATATTATAAAAAAAAATAACTAGTTTCTTTCCATGTCCAATAAGTAAATAAATAACACCCCATATTAAAAAGGTCAAATCTTTTAATCTACAAAATAGGTAACTGCAGTAACAATAATAATAATAATAATGGTAATAACAGTAACAATAGCGGTAAAGAAAAATAAAGATACTGTGAGATTAAAAATATGACTGGTGGTATTGTGACAATTTTAATGATACAAAGCATCGGAACGTCATTCGTCATTCTCTTTTTTCTCAATTACTAATCTTCTTTTCTTCGAGTACAGTAGTAAGTAATATTAGAAAAGACAATCAAAATGCATATATACGTATATATATGCCTTGAAACAAACAGGGTAGGAAGTCTTGGCTCCGATAAACACACCGTAGAGGATGTCGACTTACGACAGGAAAGGAGGAGGAGGAGTTGAAAATGAAGAAAGCTAAACACTAATCTTAGATATTTAGCATACAAACAACACCTGATAATCGCAAAAAAGAAAAGCAGTAAACAAAAAAACAAACAGAAAACAAACAAAAATGAGGTTGGAGTTGATTCAAACAAATGAAGTAGTGAGTAGTGTAAATGTGCCTGCCTTCAAAAATAATGCATTGTCTTATTCACAAAATGCATAAGAAAACACACTCTTGAGTTTATACATTCCACTACCAAATGTGTTGGGTGAACAGATGTTTTCTCCACACACACATACACACACACACACTTCAGGTTTTATATAGGATCTAATTGCAAGGCCTCTCTCAGAATTATTCAAAGTGGGAGAAAATGAACTGAGGAGGACAATGGGGATTGGATTATATGTGGTTTGACCAATTTCGCAGTTTCTCTGAAAGTTTCACGACTGGTAGAGTGTGCATTATACATCTAAAATTAATACTAATACTAGCAATAATAATAACAATATTATTAACAATAATAATAATAATAATAAAACTAAGAACTGGGAATATTATGTACACAATAATACTGTTTTCAAGATGAACAGACTAGAAATAATAATAATAATAATAAACTGTTTGCTGCTAACAATGAACAATAGGCAAAAAATGATTTGAAGTTTGCTCAACACAATTGCGTAACGCTTACATGTTCACCATTAACATCTAGGCATTACCGGAAGCAAATACACAAACACACACACGAATACATGCAAACACAGGTATACAAATTGTGTCGACTAATTATATTGTATATTATATGTTGTATAGTAGAAAAAAGTAGAATCAAAAAGTGCCACTACAAATCTCACACACAGACACACATACATATACAAGCACGCAGACAGATACAGCCAAACGAGAAAGTAGCTCAATTTTGGCTACATATTATTTCATCACAGTAATAATAATAATAATAATAATAATAATAATAATAATAATGAAAATGAAAATAGGTAGTCACAAAGAAAGAAAAAGGAACCTGGGAATAATTTTCGAACAATTTTACAGGAGATAAAAAAGGATTTAGGAGTTTCTCGAATATCTGTGTCCCTCCCCACCCCACTTTGCTTAAAGCCTGTCTTTCTCCAATTCTCTTATACGATCACCAATACATACATAATTTAGAGGATAATAACGAGGAAGGGGAGAGAATGAAATTCACAATCATAATAATGATGATAGAAAATGGTAATCACATTCACTAGAAACAAAAAGTAATGCTTGTGACATAAGTGAAATCGAGGATAACTCAGGATTACATATATCTATTCTGATGTACATATATAGGTGGGAATCAAAAGCAAAGGATAGTAAGACAAAAAATCAAAACAAAATAAAGAAAAGAAGCAAAGGCAATAATACATACTAGTAAATTAATTCTTGGTAATTTTAGTCAAATCCCAAGATTGTAGTAGAAAAACAACAAATTCATAAGTCCCAATCATAATACAAGAATTAGGTACCTGACGAATATAATGTGTTGCCATACCACGATACAAACCACGAATGCCTTCTTCTTTACCAACTGTGTATAGAGTACGAAAAAATCCATGATATCTGCCACTGTCTTCACGTAACCGAGTTCGAGCGACTTCTGGAAAGGTGAAACATACACACGCGCATACACATACACACAAATAAAAGATGGAATAAGCAAAACACATCATTGAGAACAAGATAAACTAAAATGACAGCAACAAAGTAATTTGAAAAGAGTTCACAACATAAAACCTAATTAACCTGATGACACGGAATCGATGATTTTGCGGCTGAACGTGCGCCAACCACGCATGTGACCCAAGATTCGATTCCCAAATGGAAAACGACAAGTTGGGTGAGCACCCCAGGTTGAAATGAAAGACACTAATTGGTGAGGAGGTGAGAACCCAATGGGCAGTCTTCCAGTCGGATAAAGAGGACTGCAGAGAACATGGTAGAATGAAGGTGTACCGTTGAAGCCCTACGTTCCACTCGGAATCCAAGGAAATAATAACAATACACTTGATCACACACCTTCGGTTATCCGAAAATTCATCTCCTAACTGTAGTAATCTTGAGACTCAATGTGTAACTAAAGGCAAGATGGGTGAATCACTGAAGAAGAACTACGGAACGGTATAATTTCATGTATGCACGCGGAATCAGCATCCCTCAGATGATTGATTATGAGAATATTAGGATGCTCAGTCTATTAGATGCTTCAAGAATGTTCTCACGACTTCGAGTCGCCAAACCCATCGAGAATGATGAGACACAGTAAGTGATCCCATAGTCATTTGCCAGGATCAAAAAGCATTATATTTTGTTTGTAGACACCGCGTGTTGATAATGTTTCGTGGAGCCATGGCTCACTGATCTGGAAGTAGTGTAGGAGATGAATTCGCTGACTAACATACAAAACGTTGATTTACCTGACAAATTAGTCACAACACATTAGCAAAAATTATGTTGTTAGTGTATGTTAAACGTCCCATGTTGAAGTTATTTGTGAATATTTTTTTTCCTATAAATTTACTCTTAGCCTTCAAAAATTTGCCAATCTCTAGGTTATATTCGTAACCCGTAATATTTTAACTTCAGAGGTAAAAAGGCATCACAATTTATTATTCTATTCTTCTCAGTTTGTTTTGTATTTACTTGATTTAATACCAACACCTTGTGGATCAACTTCGTCAATCTTTGTTTTTATTGGCTGTTACATTTCCGCTAATCGGTATCAAGGTCACCGTCTACAATGCGAAAACAAATAACAATTGGTACAGTCACATGCATTATAGTGATTACCAGACAGTAACCAGGGTTCCAAGGTTTATTTGTGACAAGTTCGCATTTGAATGACGAAATAATCACTTCAGGCATTTATCGATATATATATACTATATATATATATATATATATATATATATATTCTGTAGGCGTAACGCATAATATTCGATAAAGGAACATTGTGATTGTTGTCCCAAACGAGTGCTAAAACCTTTGAGTGAACTAACTGGTATATATCATCTCCCTAATAGATAGGACAACAAGAACAAAAGGCCATAAAATGACCTCCGTGTTAGCTGAAAAAGTATACGACCAATCAGAATACAATCACCTATGTTTAATGACCTAGACCCGGAAAATATCACATGACCATTTTCAACCACGTGATCCGGCTACAACAAGGTAAACTTATTATTATTCATTGCCCCTTTACCTTTTGGGTGGATTAAATCAGATGACAGAGATTAGAGAGGAGGTGACTACTTACTTACTTATTTACCTACTTACTTAGAGCGGAGAAAATGAGCCACATATTTATTTACTATTATTGTCTTGTCAAATAAATAATCAATAGTATCTTACTAGTCAACAACAAAATGCTGGTTAATTTCCAAAAGGTATTTTTTATACTACTAATGTTATTGTGAAAACACTTTGAGACACGCAATCCTTTAAGTACGAAATTAGACTTTTCTTTTAATTAACAGAGAAATTGTGAGGGCCAAATTTAAAAAAAGTGGAATATCACCAAGACACCAGTTGAAAGTAACCCTGATCAACCTACCTAGAGTAAAAAATTTAAAATGGGTTAATTTTTGAGGCAACTGTATTTTTGGATGTAAAGACAGTTTAAGTGCGTTCTACTAATAAAAAAGTCTTCCAATTTGCCACAGAGGAATTCACGGAAAGGTCAGACGAAATTTTATGTGTAGCGCATGCATGACTTTCACAGTGAATGTCATCAGGTGCAGTTCAAAGTTGCGTGCAAGCTTCCTGATTATGGCTGCTATAGTTTAACTTCAGCCCTGCTGAATATTCACAAAATTCATTCTACCGTGGATAATAAGAAAGCTAGACGATGCTAGGGTTTCACTGAGAGTGAACTTAATGGGATCCATTCTGAAATCTGAGTGGTAGTTTACTAGCCGGGACAGGAGAGAATACTGTGGCATCAGTCCCGTCCCGTGAAGTGTAACTAGTGGCGAAATTCTTTCTTCTAGATTGGATATTATTCAGTATTGAGAGCTATATGCGGTGATTAAATTAGTCTGGAGTTAATTATCGTGTTATTTAAGGGAATATTGGATATTGAATAATAGTCGATAGCTATCTCAATGCAATAATCCCTTAAATAACACGATAATTAGCTGCACACTAATTTAATCACCGCATATAGCTCTCAAAAATCTTGCATACACAAACACACATGAACTGACCTCAAAGCATACTTTAAATATACAAAGAGAAATATTGACGAAAATTATTTTCAAAAGCATGGTTACTGAACAAAGAATATTCTTTGCGATAACCTACTCCTCATCAGAATCTAGTTATATATATATATATATATATATATATATATATATATATATATATATAATAGTGACTAAATTTGTCTTATTAACAGTATTAATGTTGTTTAAATAAACTCGAATGAATAATAACATCAATGGATTATAGTTCGATAGCAATAATACAACAATGCACACCAAGATTGTATGGCCTACCTAGAGTGCACACACCGGGGATACCGTTAACACCAATACTTAATATGCAAAATTCATCCTACCGCGCTCTAAGCCAGATGGTTAGTAAATATTATCAAACCTCTGCATGAGAAGAAAGTGAAACATAACGTCAAAGATGTGTTTGAATTCGTAGACAAAATCAAAGTGTTTTTTATTTTGATTGTAGCTTGATTCACACCGTATTTTTGGTACAGGTATGGAATTTCCAGCATGTGATATCGATAGCCCAAATTTTTCAGGCCGACCATAGATATAAGTTGTGCGTCAGCGGGGGACTGAACTTCCGACCACGTGCATGATCGGCGAGAGTCCTAACCACTGTGCCACCGACGCACATAATATTAAAGTCAAGGATAAAACTATAATATCCTTGGACATAACATCTTTATTCACAAATGTACCTCTAATAGCAACAGTTAACTACATATATGTGAGCAAATGTATAACCGGTCGATAAATATTGGCATCACAACGTAAAACCTAAAAGAATTGTTATTTAGGTGTAACATGAATATAAATTTCAAATTTGATGGCACACTTTACAGACAAGTGGACGGGGTGGCAATGGGCTCCTCATTGGGTCCCATTTTGGCATATTTCCTTCTAGAAAACTAGAAAATGGACATTTGAACAACCTCATCAGAAAATTCTCATTTTATCGCCATTGTAAGGATGACACCTTTATTCTTTGTGATAATGATTCGGATAGGAGTACAATAATAGCTCAATTCAATGAAGTACATTCTCCTATGAGATTCACATGCATACAAGAATCCCAAAATACAATTGCCTTCCTAAATGTCCTTCCTTACAAGAAAACCAGATGACAGTATAAAGGGAAATTCGCATAGCAAAAGCACATGGACAGGACAATATACACATTTTCATGGCTCCCTTCCTCTCTAGTACAAAAGAAATTTAGTAAGGACCCTCAGCCACATGGTTAGAGCTATATGCTCGGAAGAGATAACTGAAGATGAACTAAGAATTGTATGTGACATCCTAATGAGAAATAACTATCCAGAAACGTTCATCAAGAAACACATGACAGAGAATGCAGAAAAGGACTTTTCTCCATTTGTAAATAAGAAGCCTTTATACATACAACTGGAATTCAAGGGTGACGCACCCAGTGAAATAATTACTAACAAGTTAGGAAAATCCATTCAAAGAACTTTTAGTGCTGGTAAGCTAGCTGCAAGTCATATTTTCTACACGACTGATGGTGATTCCTCAACTCAAAGATGAAGTACTCGCTTGCACTAGCCACTTCTAATTGTATCCACCGATTCAACTGCGCTTTTCGAGACAGTTATATTGACCGTAGCTTCAGGAACTTGATTTTTCGTGTTCGCTCGGGAACATCTACCAGTGTGGCTATACCACCTGGTCCACGCCGGCCACAAAGCCAGCCAGCATTGAAGAATCCTTCCCTATCATCTACCGGGTACCAAATACATTTCCAAAAACATCCAGGTACCATATGCTCCAAACAGCACAGGCTATCGCGATTCTCCTAAAACAACCAGTGCTCTGTGTGCAGAAGAAGCAAGTCCAGTCACTACTACTACTACGCTGGTTGGCCTTCAGTGGAGACTATAAATTCATGAATTTATATTATTATCTTTCCTAATTTCTCTGATATTCAGCGTATAGTATTATGTCGATGCTATCGAACTCTAATCCATTGATATTATTATTGACTCGATGTTATTTTAACAACATTACTGTTGTTTACAACACTAATTCATTCACTATTATGTGTATATATAACTGTAGAACCTGATGAAGAGCAGGTTATCAGCAAGATCACTCTTTGTTCAGTAACCATTCGTTTCAAAAAAAAGTTGATGGGCATTTTTAATCAGTTGAAAATTATTTTCTTAAAACAACTTACCATGAGGATAAAGCGCAGTTATAGCAATGGCTTTAGAACACGCACTGGCAAACATGCACAAGATCATGTCCTTCGAAGCGGATAATTTACTCCCACCAGATGATCCTCGTAAATCTGAGGCTTTTTGAGGTAGATATTCGTTTTCAGGTTGTGAGGATTGTTGAAATTTGGAAACACGACCACTCGTAGTGGTAGTGGTGGTGGTGTTAAGTAACAACTTTTGTCGACGTTTATGCTCTCTCCAGAGTAGTTCTGATTTGAAATTTTCATATATGACAAAATTTAAGGCTGTTTCCAGAGAACCAAAATACGATGCACTTACACCACGATAGAAACCACGTAATCCATCCTTATTCCATGTATTACGAATAACTTGTGATACAGTAATGGGTGGATGACCTGGCCTACAGTATGCAAATCAATAAAGGGTAAGAAATGCATTTTGTTATTTTTTAGAGAGCGTTACTAATCACAGTTGCAAAAAATTCGGAATTTAAGCGTTTAAGCCGGTGCTAACTAGTAAATTATTATTATTACACTTTTTGTCTATCCGAGTTCCGAGAGGAAAGTAGAGCTTCAACAGTACATCTCCACTTAGTCCTGTTCATTGCAATCCTCTTCAGATGGCTCAACAATTCCTCATAAGCTCTCATCTCCTCCTTGCACCCTCCGAACTACACCCAACTCGCCGTTTCCCATTCGGGTTCAACTTGAGCAATAGGCTGGTGCACAATGTCATCCAACGATCTTGTCAGGGTGTGTCAAATCCATCTCCACTTTCATCGTCATATCTGTTGAACAACAGGTTCTTGATTGGCTCGTCCCCTACAGCTTCTTATTGTGAATTCTTTCTGGTCAGCCGGCCATCTCATCTTCAGTATAGAGTCGGTGAAGGCGACTGTTGATTAAAGTTCACCACTGGCTGTTAGAAATGCTTTACATGACGCGCTAAGTTTCTAGCCTATATAGAAGAAACTTCATGCATTTATTCCCCTTGATGAATTTGAATAAAGCAAGAACAACAGTGGTTTGTGCAGAATAATATGGTACCATTATTTATTTCATTGGCTTCTCATCATCTGCTAACAGCCTAAATAAATTATGAGGTTTAAGTACAGACACGTTTTAACATACTTGCAAATTTTACATGTTGTCAGTTGATAGAAAGTTCCACAATCAGTGAACAGTGCTCAGAAAATTGCGCTTATATAGTTTTTACACGGGCAGTTCAAGTTAAAACAAAATAAATGTATGCATATTATGGTAAAGGAGTTACATATTAAAGATGAGATGTGCGTTAGATGCATAGTGACTAATAAATTAGGTAACAATGTACTGAGTTCAACTCAAATCATAGAAACAAGAGACAAGCAAAATTACAGATTCAGTTACCAAGGCAAGGAAAGACTAATAACTGCTTCTTTCTGAACACATAAATCTGATTTCAAGCGTTTGATAGAAATTGCTTCGGCAAACTTAAGGAGAACGGAGCTCCTTTGTCTATTCATAATTTTGAAGGATTTCTCGATTTCCACCTCATGACTCGTGTCGAGGAGATGTCTTTTTTCTCTCATCTGATTACGTAATCTTTGTCTTTAACCTCACCTTCCTTTTATAATCTGTAATTTTGCTTGTCTCTTGTTTCTATGATTTGAGTTGAACTCAGTACATTGTTACCTAATTTATTAGTCACTATGCATCTAACGCACATCTCATCTTTAATATGTAACTCCTTTACCATAATATGCATACATTTATTTTGTTTTAACTTGAACTGCCCGTGTGAAAACTATATAAGCGCAATTTTCTGAGCAATGTTCACTAATTGTGGAACTTTCTGTCAACTAACAACATGTAAAATTTGCAAGTATGTTAAAACGTGTCTGTACTTAAACCTCATAATTTATTTAGGCTGTTAGCAGATGATGAGAAGCCAACGAAATAAACACAGGATGGTACCATATAGAAGAATTGACTGACGTAGGAATGGAGTTTGGGCACACTGTGGTAGAGTACAATTCCACCACCAGAAAGTTGTGTGGATAACTTGATATGATTATGAGTGAAAAACTGTGCTCAGCAAATATTACTGTACACAACACTGTGCGACTTTATCAAAATAAATATTCTCTATAACGAGTGACTTAAAATTGGTGTTGAAACTCCGAATGTCGTTATTTATGCTGAGGTAGAGTGCAAAAGATTTCCGAACTGATTTCAGAGTGATGAAGGTCTCTCTTCCCTTTCCCGATCCTGGCTGATTTGGGCATCGTCACCCATGTGAGAGGGGGGATGCATGTAGTTGGGATGATGCTTCCTAGATATGTAAAAGAAGTGACTTCTTTCAAATTTCTACTGTTGATAGTGATTGGTGCTGGTTGTTTTTGTTGGTCAGTCAGTTATCTGCATCACCACTGTCTTCTCTATGTTCACCTGAAGTCCTGTCTTTGCTGCCTACCTCTCTTCAGCCAGTCTGTTGGTTATCACCTGTAAATCTTAAAGTTTGCATGTTGTTAGACATAAATCGTCCGCGAAGTCCAGATCTTCTACATTCTTCTTATCGGTCCATCGCACTCCTGGCTCCTCCTTCCCTGTGACCTTTCGTGTAACCCAGCACACAATTATTAGGAATATCGCCGATGATAGCAGGCAGTCTTGTCTTCACTTCAAATGGCTTCTCCGAGTTTTCCGTTGTGGATCACACTTGACATGTGGCATTGTCTGAAATTCTAAAAATCTAACCATTTTAGGCTTTAGTCATGAATCACTGAAAGCTCATGTGAAAAACATTGATGTGGCTTTTAAACGAAAGCAGGTGATTTAGTACACGTATGCTGGGCAATATCCTGCAATCAGCATGGTAATTTGCAGCAATCAGCACTACGGAATAACATCTAAATTCTGTCTAACACTGTCAGTCTAGTCAGTGAGTAGTTCTAAACGGTATAGAGGACTAAGCGAGTGCGTGTCACTGCAAAATTTCATCAACAGCTGCTTTTGCTGACACGATAACGAGTATCCGATAGCCTGTCAGAAAGGATAAGAAACAAAGAACTCAGACAACAAACCAGCCAACAACCACCTACCCAACAAAAATGCAGTAGGAAATACAGGTGGACTGAACATACTCTGATGGGAACTTCAAGTGCGACCCGAATATGAAGCAACGAGTTAGTCATGGGTCCGAAGGTAACATGAAAACGATCATATGGGACAATGCAGCCAATTAAATGTCATGGCACAATGAAGATATACCGATGAGGCACTAGTTTCCAGACGGAACGCAAGGAACGAATGATACTATCCGTGCGTTCAGCGTTACGCTGAATGAAATTCGAAGTCGAACGTATATATATATATATATATATATATATATATATATATAGTGCCAACGATTAATGAATTTACCGACTGCTAGTCTCAGCATTACAAGCAAGCGAAAGACATCTCTTATAATTATGTACACCGTCAAAAACTGAGTGCAACACAAAAACCTTCTTAAGAAAAAATGAGTTTCACTACTCGTACATTTATCACAACATGAATAGTGAGCATATAGTATTGTTGAAACTTGCCGTGAATCTAGCTGAAGCCTCGTTTTCACAAACCAAATAGGATTGGTCAAAGAGGAAGCTGTTATACCTGAAAATCACATTTAAAAACAACCAACAACATAATGTGTTAGACAAGAATGATGACTACTCACAATGTAAAGTGATGGAAATCAGTCTACCAATAAGTCAAAAATGGCTATTTAACATAAAAATCGCAAACAAAATTCATCCATATGTCGTCACTGAGTTCCATTCTTATCGTGTGTCAAGACAAACGATAACGCCTGAATGCCCTGAATCCTGTATATAGATGGATATTCAAAACCTTGCGTTCGTAGTCAACATGACTTATAATCTTTGCAGTCACTGGAACTAAGCCGGCATAATCGTTGGGAGCACAATATTTAGGTAAAAAAAGAAAAAATCATCAAGAGAGACTTAAGTGGATATGGCAAACACATGTTAGTATATGCTGTGACGTGTTCAAATTTTCGGTGCTATGGAAACACTTAAAAACTTTTGAACAACCAACTGTTACCTGTACAATGTAGAATCACAGTTGATGGCTTTACATATCAGCGTCTTCTGACGTTGGTTTGAGTCATGTAGGCATCTGCAGAATATGCGTAGTTTGGGTCTCCTCAAGGTGCTACGAACCAAAGGGTGGTGACTGTTGGTAATGTGGCTCAATAGTGCGCGGATGCATTTTTATTCTTCGTAATCTCCCAGATATATCAAGACCTCGTGTTTCTCCACATAATCATTCTTTCGTACATTTCTGCTGATTATGATTCTTTTGAGCTTTTTTTCCTTTCTGCACCCTTTGTGTGGTAAGTGGAGTGTGCCAAGTTGAAGTGTTGCTTTACTTCTGTGTAAACTTCCAAGTTGAAAGTCAGTCAGTCACATTTCATCGAAACACTGTTTTACAAAATTAACTTAGTGGATATTTGTGACTGACGAGTTTCGATTCCTCGAACAGAAATCCTGACTAACCTCATCTCAGTGACTCTGTCATCTATATGAAGAAAATATTTTCAAATCACCACTGACCACCTATAAGCAACTGAGACTTTTGGCTATCGTCCTTTAAAGACCGTACCTCAAATGAAGTACAACAGGATATAATGCTACACATAAGGTACATTTGATTGACAACTAGTCAGCGACTAGTGTAGTGTGTCTAGCCTAGTCCTTTGTTTGGTGCAGACTGCAGCACTAGGTGACGCAGGTTTGAATTTCAGAAGCGACATGAGTCCCTCCAAGATTACAGATACGCCTTGCTGATTAGTGAGTGCCAACTAACACGAAACCCTATTGCAAGGCTTCTTGCCAATTGCGTCCAACCATCTAATATCAATAATGCACATTTCTCATACTTAGATCCTTTAAAATATTAGAGAATGATAGCTCACTTAGATGGATGTCTTTTGGTAATGTGTTAAATTCTCTGGCCTGGATAGTTTAACTATGAATCACTCATACTTCATGTTTTAAGTTGGCGCTGAATGTGTTGTTCTCCACCAGAAGGACAACGAAAGCTTCACAGCTATAAACACCATGCACAACTGAAAGAACGGGACAAAAACAAATCCTCAGATATGATGAATGATGACGACTAGCAGTGGAATCCAGGACAAAATGCGCCTCTTGAATCCCACTGCTAGTCAACATTCATTCACCAGATCACTTCAAGCCAATCACCAGCAGGCATCATCGAAGCGCCCGTGCTAGGAGAGTCAATATATCAACGGGGGAAAATAAATGTTAAAAAATGAATTTTAAAAAAAAACAGATCCTCAGATCCTTTTTTTAAAAACATTTCATGGTGATCATGAAAATTATCAGGGACGACAAACAACGGTCAAGTCAATTTTCAAACCACATTAACCACCTCTAAAAAACACAAAAGATAAGATCTTGAAATAATCGAGAGTTTTGTTTTTATTATTTAATCTTTCCGATAAGAAAAAAATGTCTTCAGAATGTAGATTGCTGGTTTTTCAAGAGTCTATGCGGGAAAAAAATACGCGAAATTTCACTAGAGCTTGCTTGCTTTTCCTTCTCCTAATTTAGGGTTTTTAAAGGTAAATTTTGTGTAGGAAACACTGAAGTTAATCTCCCCCACCCACCCCCTCGAAAAGAAACTTCATACGAAACAATATTTTTAAATTTTCCGTATATTGATAAAATCTTACACGAATATACCCGAGATTTGTTTCGTAGTCAACTCCTAGGTCCTATTGTCTGATACTGTCAGAAGAACAGTGTCTCTATCTATAACTTGTATCAACGCTGCTAAAAGGTCCACTGTAAACTAAATTCTTCTTTAGTTTAGGCTTGCTTTGTCTACTAGAGGTGATATCCCGCTTACTATTAAAAATGAATTGCGATAATGATCTCTTCCTTAATTATAAGGCTAGAAAAATACAGGCAGAAGTAAAGAATATTCACTAATAGTTTCTCTTTTTAACATTTTATAGTATTGTCATGTCTATCTCTTAATAACTTACAAACCATAACCAACCAGTCTTCATTACTCCAAGTAACCCACTTGGAGTTAGTTATCTGGACGTCGGTAAATGAAATGTGTGCAACCTAAAAGTCGAAAGTTGGTAATGTAGTTAGTTGGTTTGAGCAGTCAACTCCCATCCCAGTCAATGAGTCCCGTGGTTCTAATCTCACTCCACCCCTACTTTAGCCTGAGCACGACTGATTAGAATCATCAAATCACAAAGCAATAAGTGCGACTCATAGCCCGATGATATATCGGGTACAGGGTAAATGATATGTATTAACTAGGTAACTAGTTGAAAGTCGACTTTTACTCATATATCAATAAACTATAATTTATAATAGGACACATCTCTAAGTGAAGGAATCACTCTGTTCTAGCAGACGGGACAACTTCATCTGCTGATGCGAAAAGAGTACACTTAATATTTGTGGACCTAGAGTGACCAACTGTATGGTGAGAAGAACAAAAAAAAAGAAAGGGGGAAGATCACGCTTACTTCCAATTCCAGCCGCACACAAATAAACAGCTGAAGATCCTGTTTGGAAATACTTTTCAAAGAACAACTGCCCGTTGTGATATGCACAAAAATAGATTCCCCTGTTAAAACAAAGAAACAAGCAGTAATTTACAAAAATAGAAATATATTAGCTGATTAAGTTAATGATAGTAGTAATAACATAATCCTCAAATGAAATACTTAGAAAAGATGTCTGATGAAATAAACATCGCGTTCTCGCATAACCTAACACATAACCTAAATGAATCGAATGTTAAGTCTAGACCTATTCCTGTTACCTCACCACTTTTAAAAGTGAAGGAAAAACTGCACTTACTTAACCTTGAACGTTAATTGAAGGCTTTTAACAATTCTAAACAATTTGCTTATAAGCATAGTAGATAATCTTACGTCATACCTCTATTGTCTCTAGTTTAGACAGAGGTGGCAAATGTACTCGGTGTATCTCCCTTGATTACACATCTGCTTCTGACTCTGAACATAGTCCTGTTTTACTAAAAAAGCTTGCTGCGACATTTGTAGGACATTGGATTGACAAATGTTTGCATTCCTACTTTTCTGATAGGAAGCAGTACACTGTATATAATGGGAAGTCTTCCACTATCTTACTCTGGTCGGCGTTCTTCAAGGTGATCTTCGTACTCGTTTTCTCTTTTCTTTCCTTTTATACGACTCTGAAGCAGCCCAATTTGTTAGGTACGCAGATGATTCGGTGGTTTCCATGCCGTTTACTCCTTAATCAGATTATTCCAAAATCAAACACTTTTTATTAGAAATTAGTTGGTAGTCCTCGTCAAATTGTCTAAAGCAAAATACCCCCCAAAATGTCAGGTTGTAAGTATTACTTTCCGACGGAAGCGCGACTTAAATGAACTCAATCGTTCACTCGACTCTACTGTCATGAATAGCACTTAAGGTGAAACTAAATCAAGTGTTAAACACCCTTGGATTGTGTATTTCACCTGATCTTTACAGATCTTCCCACATCATTTTAGTTTCAAGAAAGATATTTCGTTTAACCTTCGTTCCACGAGAGAAGTGCGTCGGTGGCACAGTGGTTAGGACTCTCGCCGACCATGCACATGGTCCGGAGTTCGAGCCCACGCCGATGCACACCTGATATCTATGGTCGGTCTGCAAAATTTGGGCTACCGATATCCACGCTGAAAATTCCATACTTGTACGAAAAATACAGTGTGGAATCAAGCTGTAATCAAAAATAAAAAAATAATAAATAAAGCAATCTGGTATCACTCAGTCAATATCTACTTTTAAAGTTTGTCAATTTTTCTATTCTACCTGTTATTCTTTATTCCTTCCCACCCACGCTTTGATCTTTCCTGGGATACTAAAGAAAAACTTTGTTACACTACGAACAGCACTAAAAGCTGTCATCCGGGCTATTGGGATACTGCTAAACAAACTTGTTAATACTGTTGTAGATGGACACATAGAAGAAATTACCGAATATTACCTTGTCGAACCCGGAATATCCTCTGTATACACAACTCTTTCCTTGCATCTCACTAGGTAGAACTAGAACCAACTATAGAAGAGTTTATGCTCGGACGATTAAGTATAGAAATTCCACAATACCTTGTTTGGCAGACAAACACTTTATGTGATGAGGAATTGTAGGTAGGATACTACTAACTCTCTGAGAAACACTGAGTAAACGGCCCTTCTTATTCTTTCTTTCATTATTATATTGTTGCTAACACTTCCGCTTAAATTTAAGTTACATATTCACATTCTTATCTAACAATATTACCACTGTAAATGCCCTGTTTAATTGTTACCCCTATGTTATGAAATAAAAAAATAAAAAATACAGTATACGCTGAAAATTCCATATTTGTATCAAAGGTAGTGTTTGAAATAAGGCTAATATTACTATTAGCTTGCAAGGAAATGCATCATTTAAAACTGCCACACTATGATAAAGCAAAAGTAGAAGGATCTAGAGTCAGGAAACCGGCGGGTACATGTTTGGTTAATGGATTCTATATATTGACTGGATGACCTAATCCTAATTCAACTAACGCTATTCGTTGAGGAAGTCGGTGTCTCTATAGGAGAGACAAATGTCCTAGCTTCATAACTTAATTGATTATCTCATCCAATACTATGCTACTTTTAACCTCATTATTACCCAACTTTTTTTTGGTTACAGCTTGATTCCACACTGTATTTTTGGAACAAGTATGGAATTTCCAGCATGTGATATCGGTAGCCCAAATTTTGCAGGCCGACCATAGATATCAAGTATGCGTCGGCAGGGGAACGAACCTTGGACCATGTGCATGGTCGGCGAGAGTCCTAACCATTGTGCCACCGACGCACATGTTACTTCACGTAACAAAACCAACTGCTAAAGCCCATAATTCCTCCGTACGCACTTCCGATAATTAAATATATACATATATATACATATGCAGTTCGTAGACCCCGACATCTGTCATACAAGTCCAAACGAAGCTAACTACCTCAGTACAACAAATCAGTAACAAGTGAAAAATTAGTCACAGCGCCATCTAATGTCAAACAAATGATTAAATTTTTTTGTTCGCTTTATGCAAGAGTTTGACAGGTTACAGGTTTGGTCACGAGGCGACATCGGTTAGAGAACTATTGTCTGTCTGTCTGGATTCAACATAGAACTTGGCACCGAAGTGCAGCAGTTCGAGTTGCCACGTTCCAAATAGCACACAGAGGTAGACAAGAAGATGAGTGAAGAGAATCAATAGAGTTTGACAAGTATAAGAGTGAAACAGAATGGGTAATGGTAGAAAGGAATATGAAAGATTACAGAGACTGAATACATCTGCGCTGGCCATTGACAACGATTTTGAGCCATGTCACCTATTGTCTCCAGCCATTGATTCCTAGAGTCCCGAGGGCCCCAACCCGGGAGTCTGCATCTCCCTACCTGACTCAGTTTAACTGTCAAGGATTTCATGGATTGATGAGGCCATGTTTTTGTTTGGCCACCACTGGCTCTTTTCCAACCTGAACCTATATCAGCTAGCAATGCCCGTCGGGGGAGGCGGTGGTTAGGCATGCGCAGCACGTGACCTAGCCATCTTAGTCTATGTAACTTTATAGCCTCGTCGATTGATTTTCCCTCTTTGCCCAACACTCTACGCCTAACGTCAACATTACTTACCTTGTTAAACCACCTAACGTGAGACAGAGATCGCAGACATCTATGATCGAAAGCAGTCAACCTTTTCATGTCTTCAACGCGTATTGGCCATGTTTCAGAGCCATAGAGAAGGACGGAGCGAACTGATGAGCAGTACACACGTCCCTTGGTTGATAACCGGATGTCACGCCTACGCCAGAGATGGTGTAAGTCAGCGAAAGCAGCTCGAGCTTTTCGGATCCGTGCTGAGATTTCATCGCCAATCAGTCCGTTGGTGCTAATACAACTTCCCAAATAGGTGAAGTGGTCAACATGTTCTATCACTTCACTCCCTATCACTAAGTTAGGAGTTGACGTGGTCCAGTCCTGTAGCAGCATCTTACATTTTGTAGGGGCGAATCGCATGCCAAACATACGAAGATTGCTGCTCAAGGTGTTCAGAAGACTCTGCATTTTGTCAGCATCCTCCCCTAACAGGACTATGTCATCTGCATATTCTAAGTCCATAAGACTATTCCCTGGTAACAAGTCGATTCCTAAGTCATTACGTTCAGTTAAGGATACTTCCATCAGCATATCTATGATGAAGTTAAACAGAAATGGGGAAAGTGGACATCCCTGTCGGACACCACTGGTTGTTACCAATTCAGATGACAATTCCCCATAAGCCCTTACACGACTACGTGAGTTTGAATAGAGTGCCTTGATTAGTGCAATGTACTTTCTTGGCACTCCCTTCACAGTCAGACATTGCCATAGTACCTTTCGATCCACGGAGTCGAAGGCCGCCTTCAAGTCAAGAAATATGACAATTGTTGGACGCCGAAAAGTGTGTCTATGTTCTAGAATCTGTCGAAGAGTGAAGATATGATCTATGCACCCTCTACCTGGTCTAAAGCCTGCTTGATTTTCCCTTGTCTGTTCCTCCCGAGTTCTGCTTAGTCTATGCATGATTACTGAGCCTAGGATTTTAGAGACTATGTTCGTTAGGCTGATCCCCCTATGATTATCACACGAGGACTTGTTTCCCTTCTTGAATATCGGTATAATAAGTGACTTACCCCAGTCTGATGGCACTGTCTCTGATTCCCAGACTTTGCCTAGTACCTCAGTTAATCTACAAACTAGTATGTCACCCCCATATTTAAACACCTCCGGAATAATTCCGTCGGGTCCTGCCGCTTTGCCTCGTTTCAAATTACTGATAGCTTTTGTGACCTCACTTACAGACGGCGGACCAGTGTCTATATCCCATTCGGGTGTGTGTGGATGTCGGGGAGGTTCAGTGTGGCTGTAGGCAAGTTAAATTGTCCTCAAAGTGTTCTTTCCAGCGTTCAAGGCGTCTATCCTGAGAGCTAATTAAGGAGCCATTTTTCTCAGAAATAGTCTCACTTATGATTGCCTTCTCCCACCCGTTTCTGATGAGTCTAAAGAGTTGCCTATCGCCGATGCTTTTTCCATCTCTTTTGCCTTTGTCACCCACCACTGTTCACGGTCCTTGCGGAGACTTTTAGTAAGTTTCCTTTTGTGCAGCTTTCGCTCCTCATTGAATTCGGAGCTCGCCGGAATAAGTCTTCTAGCATCTATCAGTTCGGATGAGGCAGTCGAAATCCAGTGGTTTTTACTCACCTTTGGATTTGCCTTATTCACAGCTTTTACAGCTGTATCTATAGCTGACTGAATATTCTTCCAGGCTTCTCCAGGGTGAGCACAGCTGTCGAATTCAGATATGCGTTTAGCTAGTTCTTCCTCAAATAGGGATTTAGTTTCCTGATCGAGCTGGGGGGTGATGGTTTTACCGCCAGCTGTTTCCTACGTCCGTTCAGTCGTAAGCACACACGAGCCCGGACCAGTGCGTGATCGGTATCTACACACGTGTTCCAGAAGGAGCGACAATCTCCTACCGACCCACGCCAACGATAGCTTATTGCTATGTGGTCTATTTGTGTCCAGCGTTGGTTTGATGATGGGGGTCGCCAGGTTAAACAGTGTCTCTCCTTGTGTTTAAAGTTAGTGCTTACAAGAAACAAATGATTATCTGAACAGAACTGTAGGAGACGGTCACCGTTGTCGGTTCGCTGGCACGGAACTCCATAGGTGCCACCGACATCCTTCTCAGATTGACACAATTTCCCTACTTGAGCATTAAAGTCACCAGCTAGAACGACTATATCTGAGCGTTTAGCCTTTCTCACCAAACTAGACAGCTTTTGGTAGAACTCATCCTTCGTTTCATCCGAACTGCAGTCAGTGGGGGCGTAGGCGGAGATTACGAAAAGGCATCGGCGAGTAGTGCAGTCCTTTCTCCTTCTTACTGATCCGTTCAGACGGACAGCACACATTCGGCTATCTACTGGGATCCAGTCAAGTAATGTCTTTTCTGCCCTAGTATTCTATTTTTCTAATGTTTATGTCTCTCCTGGCTGTACCATATTGGATTTATCTATGTTCCCCGATGAATTCACCGCTTTTGCTGCAGCTTGTTTCGAGAACTCTTTATCAATAGTAACTGGCGACTTCAATGCTAGCGATTGCTACTTCCTTATATCACTTGGTCATGACAATATTGTCAACTTTGCCATCCGTCTTGGTAAAACACTGGACCTGGTATTTATCAATGATGCTGGTATATATGAAGCTCGCAAACGTGCTCCTCTACTTAATTCTGACCACTGCATCATACGTGTGCTGCCTAAAATGTATTCCAAATCACACAAAGGTGTCCTCTCTCACCTCTACAGTAAAGTTCAACGGAGATGCTACTCAAAAGACAACATAGACAAGCTCAGATGCATGTTGAAAGACACTAACTGGGACTTATTTACAGAACAAACATTAGATGAAACAATCACAAACACTACCGATTATCTTAAATTCTGTTTCGAAATATGTTGTCCTAAAGAAACATTATTCATCCGATTTGATCGCTTATCTTCGCCATATCTCAAAAAGCTACGTAGAAATAAAGAACTGTTGTTCAAAACTAATGATAAGCCTGGTGTAAAAAAGTTAAACATGCTGATAAAACTGGAAATAAAAAGACTAAGTGTTTTATATAATCAAAGATTTTTGTCATGTAAAACCCCTTCTAATTTGTGGAAACTTTTCAAAGAAATTACTAACGGTAAGCGATGTATTTCTGTTCCATCTCTTAATGTTGACACTCTTAATAAGTCTTTCATACGCTCTTCTGTTGATACCCTTCCAAATGATACAAATCATATTGACAATAACTTTAGTGGTTTTAATACCGTTGATGTGCTTAAATGTCTCCGGTCTCTTAAGCCTTCTCAAAGCCTTGGTCCTGACGGCATACCTGCCATTGTCCTCAGGAATTGTGCTGATATTTTGTGTTGTCCTCTTACTAAAATTTTTAATGCCTCTTTATCCGGTAACGTTCTACCTTTTGCATGGAAAAACATTAAAATTATCCCTATACCAAAATCATCTTCTGGTTCTGATATTAAATTTCGGCCTATTGCAATTACTTCCCCCTTTTTAAAATTGATGGAAAAATTACTTTTACTTCGTCTTGAACCCGCTTTGAAACCTTTTAATGATCCTAAACAATTTGCATACAAACATGGTAGAAGTACCTTGGATGCTGCGGTTGTCTTATATCACAATGTTGTCTCTTGTGTAGACAAAGGTGCTAAATATGTTCGTAGTGCTTTCTTAGACTACACATCTGCTTTTGACTCTGTACCTAGGGGCCTTTTATTAAATAAGCTATCGTTGACACAAACAGGATCCTGGGCTAAGAGTTGGTTGCATTCCTATTTTTCTGATAGAATGCAGTATACTGTATATAATGGCAAATCTTCTTCTACCTCGCTTACAAAATCCGGTGTTCCTCAAGGTGCTGTCCTCTCTCCTTTTCTTTTTTCTATCTTCCTACTTGACCTACCTCATTCAAACGAAACTAACTTTGTCAAATATGCAGATGATCTGACTGTATCACTGCCTATCACTTCCGAGTCTGACAGCTCCAAACTTAATAGCTTTCTGTTGGACATCAGCAAGTGGTCTAAGTCAAATGGTCTTATATTAAATCATTTCAAATGTCAGGCGCTTGACTTTACTTTCAAGCATCGACGTGACTTACTTGAACTAGTTAACTCGCATGATCCCTGTAGAATAGATGGCACGGAAATTGAAACCAAATCAAGCATTAAATACCTTGGATTAGTTTTTTCCTCTGACCTTTCATGGTCATCCCATATCTTATCTATCTCTAAGAAAATGTTTCGTCTTACCTTCTACATTAAAAAGTTAAGACAATCAGGTATCAACCAACCTTTAGTTTTGCAATTTTTAAACTCCTGTATTTTACCTATTGTACTCTACTGCTCTTCATTAATCTTTCTTGGGCTTCTCAAAAAAGATTATATCATATTACGAAGAGTATTAAATGCTGTGAGTAGAGCTTGTGGTCTGCCACTGCATGAGCTCGCTAATACTATAGTCGAGAGGCATATAAATTCCTGTACGAAATGGGCAAAGGCTATACTGTCAGACTCTCTGCACTCCCTTTATTCACACCTGTCCCCTTGTATCTCATCAGGTAGGACGAGAAGTCAATATAAAAAGATATATGCTCGTACTACTAAGTATAGAAATTCTACAATACCCTATTTAGCGCGTACTTTATGTGACGAAGACTATGTTAGACGTGAAACTTACAAGTTACTATGTAATTAGCACAGTGAATCGACCCTTTTATCGTTCATCTTTCTGTATTTTATGGTGTTACACTTTCTATCGTTTAAATCGTTACTCTGCTATTTTATATTAGTTGGTATTACTATTATTACTACAATTTTGTACTTTAAACATATTTTTCTCCGTATGGCACACAGTATTTTGCTACGTAGCTGCTACAACAATCGTTTTATTACTATTATGTATTGTGTATTTTTAATTTTTTTTTGTCGTTTTTGGGTAAATTAGATGCAATATTGTACTGAATGCTGAAAATTCCTTGCTGTATCATGAGTACTGTTTTTGGAATAAAGCAATTATTATTATTATTATTATTATTATTCACAAAGCTATCCCTACGCCAGCTAATCCTCGTGAACTAGCTGTGGCATCTCCTGACACCCTCAAGGTGAATTTTGAAGATTCATCCTGTTCGCCAGGTGGGGTTAGGTGAATAACCACACTTGGGTCTTGTATGCGTGTTTCTGAAACACAACATATATCGCTGGATCGGGATGCCAGGGTCTTGGCTAGTGATGCTTGTTGTCCTATTTGGCAAAGTGTCCTGACATTAAATGCTCCTATATGAAATTGGTGGCGTGGCTTTAGGAGACTATCGGTGGTGGTTTTTTGGCTTCCGTCGTTTTTAGTGGACACAGAGTGAAGAGAGAGTGAGGAGCCATCAAGTAGAGGAGTTACATCAGTGGGAGGAAGGCAAGGTAACAGAGATGAAGATGAAGACAAAGATAAGTGAGGATTAGAGAGGTTTTGTGTGCATTTCGGATTGTGAGGGCGTTTGTTACTTCCCGGCTGTTGGAAAACCTGGGAGTACTGCAAAGCTGTTTCGTCCTGGTTTAGGACGCCTCATCAGTACGCATCTACTAGGGCTTGAACACAAGACTTTCCGGCCACGAGGTGAGCTCGTAGACCATTCTCAGTCACTGGGACCCAATCCAATGGCCCAGGAATCCCGACTTCTTCTAACTCCCTAGGTGTTTTTAATAATGTATTTCGCACATTCGCACCGATATTCCTACGCCTGGGAATTTTTTAAACTAATCAGCAGTAATATCAATAAGAGCTGGCCAGTCACAAAATATAGCCAAAAATCATGAATAACTAGAAATCTCACGAAGTGAAAAGCAAACTTTGCTAGCCACTGAGGCAGATAAACGTTTTTCTTGTCCAAAGTCAACCACATCAACAACACGATATTTGAACAGATCTAACTAGGTATCAGCAATAAGGCTATATACAAAGAATAGACAGCTTACAAATCACTTGCACAGTGAACTATCTACATTACAGCACAGAAGTGTGTACATATCAGTTAACTGAATTTATTCCATGTCTTTGTGAACTGTTTGCTTAGCTATAGTGTTGCTAAAGTCGGAGCTGAACGAGTAGACCGAGTGTTCAGTATTCACAAATCAACCCACCGATTGACTTCAGTTGGTTTCAAAGTAGACAGACCGTTTGGCAATATTATATCTTGCTGATTAATAAATGCCATTTATTACAAGAAAACAAAGATTAAGTTTAGCAATTGTCACATACACTAAATGGTGACCAAAACAAACAAAGTAATGATAAACGACTAGAGATAACGAAAAATAGGATGTTATACATCAAAAGCAGACAAGTGTAATTTTGAAAAAGAGGGACTTTAAAACTCATGAAATGAAACTTATTAGACAAATATTGTAAAAAGATATAAACTAACCGTGACGGTAACACTCCGAATAGTGTAGGGATGAGACCTTTAAATAAGGCTGTAGGTCCTTCATAACGACATATATCGATCAACGAACGAAGAATGACGGATCTTCGAAATCCGTGAGGTTTGGAATTTGATGGGCCATATGATGCAGTAGAAGAGTCAATTACTGGGGACTTTATCGGATTATTATGCAAGGGATTGATTGACCTGAGATCTAAATCGAATCTCTGACCGTACTTATTACCAGACAGTGGATATTTAGTGTGAGAAAAACGATTGCCAGACTGGTCTGAGGAAAGATTGGAAGTAGATGAAGTAGACAGTACAACTCCTTTTGAAGATTGAAGACGAACTTTAACAACTTCTAATGGACAAGTCAGAACTGCGCCAACTGTTCCACCAATGCTACAGGAAGCAGAATATACACAAAAAAGATGTTTCGTTATCGTGATTTAGTTAATATACAATCTAACTTCAAGCAGAATTCATTGAGTATAGATGTTTTGTGTAACAAGATTATATGATGTGTGGATAATCAATTCTGAATTCATAAAAGATTTTTGAACAACAGATGACCTTTAAAAAATTATTTTCCGATCATCTTATAATGAACTAAATGTGTCAATTGGGGTTGGAAATGATCGAGTGTTGAGTAAATGCAAAAAGACCGAAGTAAATTGGTAATATTGAAAACCATGCAGAAGTGGAGACGCGAAGAGGAGATTACGATGGCAGTAAAACACATCAGATGAGCCTCAATTGGAACATGAATCGACAAGCTACTATGCAGCTTACGGGTTGGAAACCAGTTTCATCTGTAGACGTTTAAGTTTTGCAGGCCCTAGGGATGACAGTCACTCATTGCTGGATGATTGGAAATGCATCTTGCTTAATGTTTATAGTTATCGTCAAACTAAATTCCCTCCCTTCGCTTAATGTTTTTTTAACTCCCATCTTCTGATCTGTTGGTTACAACCTTTTAAAACCAACATTTGTAAAAGAAGAAACAAAGCACAATTCGAGGAAAAAGAGGACGAATAACCTGCTCCGACTTGTGTCACGGAAGGTCGCTTTTTAGATTCTGTTACCTACATAGAGTATGCTACTAATGGAAAAATCTAGTGTGCCTGGGGTTCTTCACTGAGAGACTATAGCCTTATTTACATTCCAAAAGTAAATGATTTTAAGGATGTTTGTGTGATACTACACAATGATACAGTATAAATAACTATAAAACGTTCCAAGCATCATTTATTTCTCATAATCACATCATTCATACATCTTCATAACTCACTTTATATAGTTCTGCTATCCCTTTATGTCCATATATCCAGAATCTGTAACGCTTTATTTATATTGTGTGTGTTGTCTGCTGTTTCAATGGGCAAAAAGGGCAACAGTAAAGAACAGACACCAAGGCAAAATGGCCTTGAATCAACCAATAATATGGCTCGACATTACACATGAATGTTGTTCATAATCTTCATTGCAAGTTTCACCCAAATGTTTTTATACCAATAATACAACGACAAGTCCTCCTAGGCACTACCATTTATACACTCGAGTGGAAAGGTTATTCGCAACTATCATCATTCGACTATACTCATCATAATATGTGGAAACTATTTAAGGAAATCACTGGTGGTAAGCAGATAAACAATATTCCATATTCTTTTGATGTATGTACTCTTAACAAATCTTTTATTTACTCTCCCTCAAATGCCATGCTTCCCAGCATCACTTGTGTTAATAATAGCCCCTTTCCAGGTTTTAACACAAATGATGTTCAAAAGTGTCTCAAGTCTCTAAACCCTTCCCAGAGCTTAGGTCCCGATTATGTACCTAGTATTATTTTTAAAATATGTTCTGATATTCTCTAACTGATCTATTTAACAAATCTTTTTCCGATAATATTGTGCTTGCCGTTTGGAAGGATATTAAAGTTGTGCCCATACCTAAATCATCCACTGGAGCATGTGTCAAATTTAGACCCAATGCTATTACCTCTCCTTTTTTGAAAACTATGGAGAAATTACTTTTACTTAGTCTTGTACCTTCGCTTAAATCCTTTAATGACCCTAAACAATTCGCCTATAAGCACAGTAGAAGCACTTTAGATGCAGCTGCCGTCTTATATCATAACATTGCTTCCAGTCTAGACAAGGGGGCTAAATTTGTTCGTGTTGCCTTCCTAGACTATACATCTGCTTTCGACTCGGTCCCTAGGGACATCTTATTAAATAAACTTGCTGCCAGTCAAACAGAATGTTGGGCTGTTAACTGGTTACATTCCTATTTCTCAGATAGAATGAAGACAAAGATAAGTGAGGATTAGAGAGGTTTTGTGTACATTTCGGATTGTGAGGGCGTTTGTTACTTCCCGGCTGCCCACACCGTGGAAGTTGGTTGCGTGACCGCAGAGCCCAGGGGACAACTGCTTGAGGCCGGTCACACGCGGCCTGTTTTTGTTTGTTCTCTTTTGTTTGGTGTGCCTCAGTAGCATACTTATCACTCCTGCCCTGTGACACGGCAGCAGGAAGCGCGGTCGTTGTTAATCCGGGCCACGGCCGATCCGGCATGAAATTTTGTGAATTTGTTTGAATCATGGTACTGGATGGGGTAGCTGCTTTTTAATTAACCGCTATCCAAACAACCTGCCTGGCATGGTAGAGCCTCAAGAGACATAAGTCTCAGCCAGTATAGCTTGATTAGGTCATTGCGGTGTTCAAGCCCGACCACCACGTCAAGGTAGCAGCTTTCGGTCGGGCGTAGAGTGTTGGGCAAGGAGGGAAAATCAATCGACGAGGCTATAAGGTTACATAGACTAAGATGGCTAGGTCACGTGCTGCGCAAGCCTAACCACCGCCTCCCCCGACGGGCATTGCTAGCTGATATAGGTGAAGGTTGAAAAAGAGCCAGTGGTGGCCAAACAAAAACATGTCATCAATCCATGAAATCTTTGATAGTTAAACTGAGTCAGGTAGGGAGATGCAGACTCCCGGGTTGGGGCCCTCGGGACTCTACGAATCAATGGCTGGAGGCAATAGGTGACATGGCTCAAAATCGTTGTCAATGGCCAGCGCAGATGTATTCAGTCTCTGTAATCTTTCATATTCCTTTCTACCATTACCCATTCTGTTTCACTCTTATACTCGTCAAACTCTATTGATTCTCTTCACTCATCTTCTTGTCTACCTCTGTGTGCTATTTGGAAGGTGGCAACTCGAACTGCTGCACTTCGGTGCCAAGTTCTATGTTGAATCCAGACAGACAGACAGATAGAATGCAGTATACCGTATATAAAGGGAAGTCTTCCACTTCATTGCTTACTGAAGCTGGTGTCCCTCAAGGCGCTGTTCTTTCTCCTTTTCTTTTTTCTTTCTTCTTGCATGACTTGCCTCACTCTGATGTAATAAACTTTGTGAAGTACGCTGATGATTTAACGGTTTCAATGGCTGTTAACTCCCAGCTAGATTGTACTAAAATAAATAGCTTTCTATCGGAAGTCAGCAAATGGTCTGAGTCTAACGGTCTTAAACTGAATCCTTCTAAGTGTCGAACTATTGATTTCAGCTTAAGATGTAAACGACAGTTAAAAGAAGTCATCGATTCTCATGACAGTTGTAAAATTGACGACAATGATATAGGAATTAAATCAGAAATTAAGTATCTTGGACTCATTCTCTCTTCTGATCTCTCCTGGTCTTCCCATGTCTTAGCAGTCTCCAGTAAAATATTCTGCCTGACATTTTACATTAAGAAGTTACGACACTCGGGTATAACTCAACCCCTACTCTTACAGTTCATAAACTCTTGCATCCTACCTATTCTTCTTTATTGTTCACCCTTATTCTTTCCTGGTTTGCTTAAAAAAGACTATGTCACAATTCGTAGAATACTGAAGACTGTCAGTAGGGTGAGTGGTGTCCCAGTGGACCACATAGTTAACGTCGTTGTCGATAGGCATTTGACTTCATGCAATAAATTTGCTAAAGGGATTTTGTCTGACTTGGAGCATCCGCTTTACCCTCAGCTTTCACCTTGCATCTCCTCAGGTAGAACAAGGAGTAACTTCAGAAAACTGTATGCTCGCACGTCTAAGTATAAGAATTCTATGATACCATACTTGGCACGTATTTTATGTGATGAAAATAGTGTCAGGAAAGAATTAACTAACCTTTTTTCATCTAGTAAATAAACAATTTCCTCCAACCATCCTTATATACCTTCAAGTTTTACTTTTAATACTTCTATTATATTTATGGTCCTGTTAATTCTCTGTTTTACTCTCTCGCATAATTGCAAACACCAACTTATCTCCATGATGGCTGTAATCTTTGTTTTTCCCCTCACCATATCATGTAAAGAGAACGTTATATTCAATATTTTTAAACATGTTGGGATTTCTATACCACATTGCCAATACTGTGTGACACAAGCCAACGGCAATTTTCACTTGTATTATTACTATTACCCTAGCTGTTATCATTATTATTGCTATTTCCATTTTATATGCTGCAGGTTTTTGACACTACCTCTATTGTAAATGTGGAAAATTTTCTGTGATTAATTTTATTTATGATTTGAGGAAATTAGATGCAACATTGTGATCAATGCTGAAAATTCCATTCTGTATCACAAGTACTGTTTTTGGAATAAAGTAAATCATTATTACTATTATTATTATAAAGTCAATCATACGTCTAAATTAGTAGGTCCTATAAGTGGAACTCATACAAATTCTATTAAGGGATCCTGGATCCATCTAAAAAACAGTACTATAATAATAAATGGTTCCCGATATGATATACATCCAATCGGATTTTTTATATTGACACTGGTTTGATGTGTCTACAGACATTCCCTTGAGAAACTGGAACCAGTTTTTACAGCATCTTAGAGATAAATAACCTGTATAACTCAGTTTTAGTACATATATGTCTTATAAGTACACTTTTTTCTAAAATAAATACTTTTCACTTAGAATATAATTGATATATTTAAGGTCATTTAACTTTGGTGTCTATTCTTTACTGTTGCAGTTAATAATACTGCTGTATCAGAAAAACTTAAGCAATATGGAATTACATTTCACCAGTCCCCAAATTTTACTCTCACCATAAGTAATGAATAGTTAAACGATTATCATCCGGTCTCTGTCTGTCTGTTTTCGACATAGAACTTTGCACAAATGTGCGGAAGTTCAAGTCGCCACATTCCGTGTAGCACGCGAAGCAAGAGAAGAAAGTACAAAAAAAGCATAATAGAAACAGTGAGCAGAGGTGTGAGACAAAGGAGTAATAAAGAAATACAAAACAGTTTCATTGAAGATCTTAAGTCACAGGGAGTGGATGCATCTGCGCTGGCCATCACCGAGAACGATTTTGAGCCATGTCACCAATTGTTTCCAACCATAGACTTTTACCGTCCCGAGGACCCCAACAAGTCAGGAAGTCTACACCTTCCTACGTGACTTAGACCAACTGTTGTGGATTTCATTGACTGGTGCCAAGTTTTTTGTTTGACCGCCGCTAGCTTTTTTCCAGCCTGATCCTATGTTAGCTAACATTGCTCGTCGAGGGAGGCGATGACTAGGCATACGTAACACATGTCCTAACCATCTCAGTCTTTGTAACTTCACGACTTCGTTGATTGATTTCCCCTGTTTACCTAGAACTCTACGCCTAACCTCCATGTTGCTCACCTTATTATGCCACTTTACACGGGAAATAGAACGCAGGCACCTATGATCAAAGACAGCTAGTCTTTTCATGTCTTCCACTCTCAGTGACCAGGTCTCACAACCATAAAGGAGGACGGAGCGGACTGATGAGCAGTACACCCGCCCTTTGGTCGATAGTCGAACATCTCGTCTACGCCAGAGACGGCGTAAACTAACAAATGCGAAACGAGCCCCTTGTATTCGTGCTGAGATTTCGTCAGAGATCAACCCGTTGGCACTGGCTGATGGTACTTCCCAAATAAGTGAAGCGGTCAACGTGCTCTACCACTTCACTTCCTATTTTTAAACTAGGCGTCGATGTAGTCCAGTCCTGTAACATCATCTTGCATTTGGCGGGAGCGAATCGCATGCCAAACATTCGTAGATTGCAGCTCAAGGTGTTTAGAAGACTCTGCATTTCGTCAGCGTCTTCGCCTAGAAGGACTATATCGTCTGCATATTCCAAGTCAACGAGATTATTCCCCGGTAGCAAGTCAATTCCTGAGTCACTGAAGTCACCTAGTGTTAAGTCCATTAACACATCTATGATGAAGTTGAATAGAAAAGGAGATAATGGGCATCCTTGACGGACACCACTGGTCGTCATAAGTTCAGATGACAGCTCGCCGTAAGCCCTCACCTGGCTGTATGAGTACGAATAGAGTGCCTTAATCAGTGCAATATATTTTCTTGGAATTCCCTTTACAGCCAAGCATCTCCAGAGAACTTCCCGATCGACAGAGTCGAATGCTAGTAGATATTTTGTTTTATTGCTAACCATTTCATTTGGATAGACTTGAATGCGATAGATAAACAAACAAAAGGCGATGACATAAGTTAGACATTTGCATCATAAGGACCAATTTTGAAACATGCCACGTTTGACTGCTAACTACTAACTCTATACCACCTAGGTGCTATAGTCAGACAAAGAAAGTCGGGCTGTTTTCCTTAACAGTTTTACTCTTAATCACCATTTTGAGTCAGGGTAGATGAAAGACTAATTTACGCAACAAATCACTCAGCCACATGCATTAATCAACTCTTTTGACAACTAAACTCGGTTGGTAATCTTATTTACTCGGAACTGTCAACGCAGACATTTTCCATAACAAAAGGATAATTAGAAAAGCTGATTATTTTCGTAAACAAGTATAAACATAACTTTTTCCTCAAACCTTCAATGAACACTATTTATACTTTGACCGCAATCGTTCTTCATTTCACAAGTATCTATTAAACGATTTCAGAGTGGCATCAGATTAATACACAAACATTCTAGTTCACATAGTAAATGAGTCATCGAACTAACCAAGCCCATAATGTCAAAGTAGCAGTGGATGGTCACAACCAGATTATGTAAATAAGAAGCTATCCTTGTTGCCGCTCAGCTTTTGAAAACGCCAAGACATAACTGATAATATAAAACTCTACAAATCATTGTCAGTTCGAGACTTCCTAAAACCACATAAGTTATAAAGGAAAGAAAAAATTATCTACTTCGACTCCAAGTGTTCAAGCAGGAATAACTGTAAGTTGGTGACCTCAAAGTGATTTAAGCATAAACACCGAACTGGAGAATATTTCGGCTACAGCACTACACGCAGTGATGCACAGCCACACAACAGGATGGGATAAGATGACACTACTAAAATCTAACATGACAGGTTTGAGGGAGAGACTAATAACTGAAGGCTTATCTATTGAATCAGTTGGAAATACGTGTAATGAGTGAAGAATTATAATTAACTATCCAGTGTTGTACTTAACACACTAGGAAAGTAATAATTTAAAGGAATATCGCAATTTCTATAAACGATACAATGATATATTTGGGCCTGATTACTGCAGTAGCATAACTTCAATCACTATATCAGATATGGTGTAGGCAAAATGTGAGTTGTTAACTATGTAAGAGTATTGAAGGCAGTCCCTATTGTTCGATTTGTTTTAGTGCTATCCAGGTTTTTATTTCACCTTAATTGCACAGTGAAACGAACCTAGCCAACTCAAAACTTATTATCCTAAGGTATCTGACTTAACAGAACTTCATATTGCATGACTAACTTCTATGTAGATGTCTATTACGACATAAAAGTCATCGCGATATATTACATTCGGGAAAAATAAAGAGCAAGATTTAGTTGGTGTGTAAGCTACTAGCGCTACACGTCTTCAATAACCATGTCACATAACTTTTTGAATTGCACGGGAATTTTTAAAAAACATTAAATTCAGTAAGCTTAAGATAAGAGGATTTATGAAGATTAAAAACAGATCTGGACTCTACTACAACCAACATGAAAATCAAACTAAAATTATAAGGGATGCTCAGCAAGTACAAATCGTTACTAAAAACATAAAAAGACTTGCAGTTGCAAGTGGCAACTAAGGCTTCTAAAAAATCACCTATTCTCCCCTGAATGTTCTTATGCATTTAACAGAAAAGAACTGATATATTACTCAGCAACCAATTTGATTTATATGCATTTGGCAATGGACCTTGAACTACTGTGAGGCCTGGATGGTCAAATAGCAAACAAAGCATATTTTGAACTCCTAAGGCGGCGGTCGGCAGTCAAGCACCAAACCAGCGAGTACTACTTTAAAAGTAGTGTCTGCATCAACCCTACAGCCAGCTTTCAGTGGTGATTACAGATTCAGACAGTTTTGTTACTTAAACCTTATATATGAGGTAAGTTGTCTTCTAAGACAGTTGATCACTTGTCCTCATAACTTCAGCTTAATGATGTCATTCCCCTTGATTATGCAAAGTAATAGAGAAGATTTGTAGCTCAGGTGGATAATTTGCAATTAATAGTGTTCTCTGAGCTGGTTGGTTTAGTTGCTAAATATTGCGCTGAAGATGTTGTCCAGAAAGACGACGAAAGCTCTGCAACTAAACCAACCAGCTCAGAGAACACTATTAATTGCACACGCAAAGTATATAAGTAAACTGAAAAACAATCAAACATGGAAACTGTCAACAAACTTAAGTTGGTGTTGGACCACCGAAACTATCAACAAAGATATGTGCTCATCATTATTTAGAATTAATTCAGTTTTAATCCTCTGAAAGAAGACACTCGATAACTAGGGTTGTTTATAGCAATCCGTAATTCTACGGGTTAGTTATCTGGTATAGAACTGGATATGAACCACACTTTTAATGTGTGAAATAATGGCACTACCTATGCAGACAGGCTGAAGTATGTGCAGCAGGATTTAAACATGAGACCCCTATATTGCAAGTCCTGTAACTAGTAAGATGAACAGCACATAAGTCTGCTTGGTTTGGGGAATGGCAACCTTCCCCCATATAGAGAGGATGTATGCGAAAACTCAAAATGCTACTGCTCCCCATACTAAATCGATATATTATAGTGGAGACCTCCAATTACAATAATTAACTTCTTTTCCTGAATAAATATTAAGGAACGTTGAGCACCTTAATTACTTAATTTATTACACAGGCCCCAATTGATATTGACAGAACCTATAGATGAATTATTCAGAGTTTAACAATTTTCAACATCCATTATGCAGATGAATTATTAGGTTCCTAAAGAAAGGATGTGAATACGAGACTAGCAACTAAGCTGACTGCGAAAAGAATACGCTTTACCATAGCTTTGAACTACCAGTAGAGTTGGCTGACGCAGGACTTGGTCTAAGTCATTAATGTGACTAGCTCATCAACCTTGTGACAGTTATGTTACTAGCATTCATTTACAACAGCACAATTCATTTCCTTCTTATGGCTGAATATTCCCTGAGGTCGTCAGAGATGTGTTAACCACGTTTTACAGTTGTTGGCTTTTCTTGTGCTGACCTCACATATCAATTACGTCAGGTATATGCACCACATGAGTGACATTTCTTTAAATAACGGACACTCGAAGATGACACGAAGAAGAAGTACAAAAACTCATCCATACCCTACCTAGCCCGTGTTCTGTGCGATAAAGAATGCATCAGGCATGAAACCTTTAACTTATTAAATAGTCAGTAGAACCAATGGATCTCGTCTTTCCAACTCACATCATTTATAGGTACAACGTTTTCTCGCTCTTCATTCTGTATTTATTTTTGTCATGTGCTGTTTTGTTTCTCTCTTCCTTGCAAACTCTACTTAAAACATTCTTGTTCGTTCTTTCACACTCTGTATAACTCGACCATTTTGATATCGCTTACGCCAGTAAATATGCTAGTAGTATCTACTTTTCTAACACCTTCAAACACTTTAATTTTGGCTTTGCTACCGACATACTAATTTGCTGTTGAGATAACTTTAATCTATGTAGAACTTTATTTATTGTTAATGTAAAAACTGGATGCAATATTGTAGTAAAATGCTGAGAATTCCATTCTGTATCACAAGTACTGATTTGGAATAAAGCTTATCTTATGTTATGTTATGTAATTAATTGCAACCAGACTATATAAAACGTGATACTTACCCGCCTCCCAGTACATGCACTGCAGTCTCATCGAACATTAGCCCATCCAATGGATGGTACAGCTAAAAATGTTTATATATATGCGATTAGACAGCAGATATTTCAAACGAAAGCAGGTAACTGAAGTAAGTTTCTATGACCTGCATTTACCACCTTCAGGCCAAACCATGAGCATTGGCCTTGACTCTGGTTGAAGATGACCTCCAAATGCTATTCAACGACCCATTAAAAGTAGTGACTCAATTATATCCAGTCTTTTTGACGCTTCACACATAAAAGATTAGGAGAGGGAGTTTCACATCAGCGGCCGACTAAATAAGAATTTTCCTAGAAAAAACCATAACTGTAAAAGCAAGTCTAGCATCAGTGGGAATATCATCACTCTGAGATATAGGTAAATCGAGTTACAAGTCCCAAATATGACGAAACAAGCTCCCTACATTCCTCCACTAGCTACAAATATACCAGTGACTTCACTTTGAGTGTTTTTCAAATGAGATTTGCATTCTGGTCTCGTTTCTCTGAATTACTACGTCTTTTACTTAGGGATGGTGTATGGTTGAATTTTTCATGATTCCTATCATACCATATTGTTTAGCAGTTCTAATCCTTCGTCCGAAGCTACTAAGGCGGATATGTCCAACTTTCGTCCACTGTATGATGCATCCGCTCATTTTTGGAAAGTGGTGTTATAGGCTTCAACTACTCTAATACTGTTGGCAACTTTAGACCCTGAAACTTCCCCACTATTAACGGAACAAGAACACACACTAAAAATGACAAATCGTCTTTGTTCCAGACCAGCGTACGCCGATAATCTTTCTCCCCTAAGAAAAACTAGTCAACTTAATCTTTCTGCATGAAATACGAATAGGGTTTGTTAAGATTTTGCAGAAGTAATACATGGGCTAGACTTGTTTATTACAAGCGTTATCCTGATAAGCTGACATTGCATCGTCCCTGTAGTTATTCCTGGGAATGATATTCTGTTTCCTTCTGCGTACGATAGCACGTCCAACGGCAGGTGTAGCGCTGTAAAGCTTGGTCCGGCAGACCCATTTCCTCTTACGCTACTACCTATAGACATAGGGGCTTACTTAATATATATTTATTCCTGTTTATGCAGGAACATACCAATTGTACAGGCATGGATAAGTTATCGTATAAATTACACAAAATTCGATATATGGTGAATTTACAGTTTGGTTGTTCTTTCTGACATTAGAGTCAGTCGGAACAGTCTAGTGTAAAGTCTGTTTGTATAACACATAGAGAGATATGGAAATATTGTCTTCGCATTAACAAAAAAACCCAGACATCAGACAAATGTGATGCAAATATCTGGGGGGAAAAGCTTGAAGTTTTAATATTTGGTAAAATAACGCTGCAACTTGAAGCAGCCGATCTTAATAATAATAATGTGTATTCTCATATAAACATATAAATTTACATGAGAATGCATGCCGTTTTTACAGGCACGATCAAGTATGATATAATATCATATCGTAGATTGTCTACAAGTTAATAATGTTTCAACTGTTAAATGTTTGATATTTATATAAATACACTCATTTTCTGAACCAGGCCGTATAGTTATTGTATTGCACAGGTGTCCTCCAGGTTTCGTGGGAAAATCGACTTCGTTTCGTTTTCATTCCGTGGTTGTAGGCATACGATAACCAATCAATATTGAGGTAAGTACAACGTTTACAAGGGATTGAAAGCTGTTTTAGAAAAGTAAAAGTGCCAAGGTGAATCAATAAAGTGCAATGAAATATGTAAGTGCAAGTATCATTAGTAAATTCATTTATAAAAGAAACTCCCTAGGCTGACAACGTTCATTTGCAATGTATGATACTAGCCAAATAGTTCGTACTATCATGATGTCCACTTCTGGTTTTAATACATTTATCCTCATGCCGGTTCTTTTTATTTTTTACCTTTTTGTGCATTTGGTGCACAACCGTACCCTACAGAGAATAGAAATAGAATGGGTCGAATCAAATCCATAAAGAGCTATAAAATGTTAGGTTTAATGGAATGTAGTGAGGATCGAGTAAAGACGTTATTAGAAAATGAATGAGATAAGACATTGTGAAGTGGTATTCATAGATCCGACAATGGACAGCAAGTTAATTTATAAGTTCCCCCATAAATCTGTGCAAAGCCCACGTCGTCGCATCTCAACAATAGGCTGAGCAAATGATTTATGTTTAAAGGCAGAAGCATGATTTGTCTAGGCGTTCCTTATTATCTTTTTTAAGATTAAGTTCTAAGCCCTCATAAAAATCAGAAGCATCTCGAGCCGTCAAGTTGCATATTTCTGTTCCTGCAGAATGGAGCGATTCATGCGGGAAGGTAGGACAAGTATGACTTTGTATGCGTAGGGATAAATCCACCATCTGGAATAAGGGGTGGATTTGCTTCGTTGCCTGAGGGGCGGATATGTGGAAAGACCAAATTAAAATCTTCAAACAGATGAAAGAATAGTTAACAGTCGTAGCTAATAACATTGCACGTAAACACGAAAGACGTTTATGCACTTCTGAAATATTTCGATCATGGCATTGCGAAAAGTTAGGCGATTATGATAACAAGATTCGCATAATAAACATATAGCAATGTTCTGTTTGACTGTCAGCTAATTTTAACACCTTTACTATTTGTCAGAAAACGCAACTGTCAATGATTCTTGACAGTTTTGTCAGAAATCGTGTTAGTAATGGTGAATACTGTGTGGACGTTCAGTGAAATCGTCTATTCGAACCGCCTTCCAGTTCGTCGAAGGCAACAATTCTTGTCGCGGCTTAGACGTCTGCTTGTTGACGGAAGAAAGGAGCAATACTACAAGAAGTAATAATGTATACAGTACTGACGTTATTTGTAGACATTTACAGTGTGTTGATAGTAACTAGCTGTGAATCACATGGTCGAGCCGTTGTTTAACTAACCTGTCATATTGGTTTACACTTGGTGGATCAATATATCTTCGACTTACTGTCTGTCTTTTAATATCGCTTGCTTTCAAATCAAGTTGGTTATTAGATAAATAAAATAGTATTCTGAGTTAAAAAGAGTCTTCCGGCTATAGCAAATTTTCCTGATATCGTTAATGAAATCCGATTAACTGTCGCAGGTATCTGTTTCTGCAGTGCAATGAAGAAATAATAAACCCGATCACACTCTTATTAACATCATTCGGTTTTCAGAAACACACCACATCTACTACTTGTTAGTTCGAAATACTAAACTTGTTATGACTATGCCGCTTCGGACCGCGAAAATCCCGCTGTGGAATCGCGTAGCTGAAAAGTTTATTGCTTGAATTAAATAATACGTTCTACAGGGGTGCTTCAACCTATCTATCAGATAAATTACTGTGTAGTCTTATTCCGCAGAAAAATATGCAGTGCATGCGGGACGGTGAGCTGGGCGTACCAGTGTCTCTTACAACATGCGTCTTACTTGACTACGTGCCGAATATGGTGACACTCGGTTGTCGCATTCTCGTCATTTCCGCTCTTCTTATGTGCAAATTACCATATTCTTCTGAAGCCAGCTTAAATGAACAAACACTGGAGCTGACATTCTTTTTTCCGTTAATCCCGATAGACTATCCCCGCATCGAAAATCTTATATCTAAATTTTGGCAGTAGTCTTCATAAAACTGAGTCCCTACAAATGCTGAGTTGGTAATTTTTACCTTCGGACGCGAAAAAGAGGCGTTCGGACTATTTCTGGTAATGAATCTTGTGATGTCCATGATAATGTGCCGCGAAATAAATCAGATACTATCCAACTCTGCTTACGTCAGTACTACCTGCATGTGGGTACTGCGGATAGTACTGTTACTGCTTGATTATCAGTGCGTCACACCTAGAATGATAAATAATGATATATCTAGTAATAGCCACCCAGCTCTCCATTCTACTGAATTCCTTATCATCACCCACCACAGTAGGTATGTTGTGACACGTAAAGCGAAATTTGAACAAGATAACCTAAGGCACCATTAAAAGACAGAAAACAAACCATGTGGGCACCAATTAAACCACCTCTATCTATCTGTGTCCGATTTGCTTTCGATAAATCTCTTGTTTAATCTACTACCTAGGGTAAGCCTTAGAATTCTATTAGTGCAAATGAGAAATTCCCTTCGAGCAGCATAAATTCATGCACTCTACTCGTTTTAACGTATTGTTCCACCCCATTCTTGCCTGGACTTCCTATATAAGACTGTGTCATACTGCTTCGAAAATCGTGGTAGCATAACAGCTGGGAGAAATTCCTCTTTCGCCATCAGTTCTTATGTTTCCTGGATTTCGAAAAAGGCTCACAAACGTGTGAAGAAGATATGGCTTCACTGCAAAGCACACGTGCATCCCTACAGCATCTGTAGATAACCAGGTCTTACAGCACTGGGCCTCAAGCTGTCCCTGGTAGACTTTCAGAAACAGTGTATATTAAACAAAGTAAAAAAACAGAACACTGATTGGCGACTCGAGAATCCTTTATTTTTACGCCAATATGTAACCAACAATAAGGTTATTACACACAAGGTCTAAGGACAAATGTTATAACAATAAATCACGATATTACTTCTGATAGTTTTTCATCTTCCTTCCGAACAGCGAACGATGAGACGATGACTGCCGTATTGATGACTCCCGCAAAAAATATGGAGGAGTTGGGTTTGAGCAAACGACCATGAATTGATCGTTCAATCTTCAACTATATTGGCACAAATCATGTGTTGTTCAAATTGCTACTCTATACATTATCATCGCCATCATAGACGAGATAGAACTTCAGTCAAACCCATATTTCAGTTTCATCGTTATTTAGAATGCCTTCAATAGCGCTGAACATTAATTAATTTGGAACCTACGCTAATAGTGTGGCCCGCCCGATATCTTTGTCAGCCCCACTCAACAGCTATATGACAATGTCACTTGCCAAGTGATCCACAACGTATAATTCAGCGAAACCTTTGAAGTGAACGCACGGGTAAAACAAGACTGCCCATAATTGCCCATGATTTTCATAATTGTAGTGGACCGGGTTATGCGCAAGACTCTGTTCTCTGTCCACAAAGAACTGTGGAAGATCTGGACCCCGTGAATGGTTAACATCTAATAATACACGAACTTGCGGGCGAAGACAGAACTTCAGACAAATATCGAGAAGATGGAGGTGATCAAGTTACCCGCGCATCAACAAGAACAGCCAGAGAAATTTATCAGATGTTACTTCCTTCACCTATTTAGGAAGCATGGTTTCAACCACAGACGGAGCGGGTGAAGATACAAAAACTAGCCAGGATAGGAAAGGACAAGACACCCTGAAATCTTCTGCAGAAACAACGAAATTCAGGTTTTCAACACAATAAGCTTGTGGTGCATCCTAGGTTAAAGTGGAACGTGCGGAGTGCCGAGGAGATGCAACATCAAACGCAAACATGGAGTAAGTAAAGGTGAACCGCATAATATATATAAAAGTGCGGAAACGCGCCCATTGAAGCGTTATGTTTCACTTGAAAAACAAGGGAACGATAATCATATAAAACTAACATCAATGACAGCGTAAAACTCGAGGACTGTGGCAAAAAAATATTCTTATCACATTCAAGCTTCCAGGTAAGTCTTACCAGGATATACGAGAGTTCACAAAATACTCAGCATTTCAATGGGTGCAGTTGCGTTTCATAGGCTAGATGGATTATTTTTGAAACTCTCACTGTTTCTCTAGACATACTCAGTGCAAAATTCAGTAGCTGCATTCTGCATAAATCACATAATCTCATATCAACAACCAATCAACACCAAGATCAAGAGGACACAAAATCATCAATACCATCCACTCCAGTCACATATCGTCTCCAACCTTCTCAAAAAATTATACACTGAATGTACACAAAATTCTATAAACATATTTACTGCTTAACAAAAATGACTCCTCTTTTGATGAAATCAAAACCTAGTGAACTAGGAGTCAAAGAATAGTAATGCTGCTTGTAAATTAAGAAAACTTAGATTCTGTTTTGATTTTGACTTATATTCAAAAGCCGGTCTTAACATTAATAAAAGGTGTGAATAGGCGACTCTTTTGATCGCGTTAATAGAAGTTATTTCCATTTTTTGTTAAAAACTGATGCATGAAAGAGTTTAATTCAATTTATACCCTATAAAAGACTCTAGATATGTGTGTTCACTCTGCATAATTGTGTCTAGAAATTATTGTCCCAACAAAACAAAGATAAGGCGAATACACTCAACTTGACAACGGACATACCAAGTTAGATGTTACGTCCAGCTGTTTGCAGTGTAACGCAAGTATGGAAAACAGCTCTGTATATACGCTATGATCCAATATCGTTTTTACAAGCTAGTATGAACCAATTTGATTCTTTTGTGCTCGCTTCTTGGTTATGAGGTAGAGGTTTCTGATCTTCGGCAAACTTCTGCGTAGCTCGTCCGACCACTCGACTGTCGTAGCTTTGGTTGACTCCAAAAGGAATAGTGCCAGGATTAATTATATGTGGTTTGTAGTATCAGGTGCGTAAGACGGGTACTACTGTGAATAGAGTTTATCCCTTCATCAGTTAGTCCTCCGGTGTTGTGGTTAAAAGAAAAGAGATAATAATAATAGATATAATTAGTGAAGGTACTCAGACTAACAGACAGAAAAAGAAATAAAGAAAACGTTACAACAGTCAGCTAATTAAATTTGAAGTTGATATATATCGGTAATAATAATAAATGTAGTTAGAGTTGTCGGCGGAGTAAGACAAGAGAGAATGTAAATAAGTAAAACGACGAACTTAGTTGTCTACCCCTTAATAGTGTACGGGATTTCGGGGGGATAGGCCATTTGGGCGCAGTCCTTGTGTCGCTGCATGATTGTCCAGCTTTCACTTGAGGGTATCCACATACGGTGCCATAGCTACATCTGCCGGTAAAGAATTCCAGGGACGTCAAACCAGCAGTGAAAAAAGTGGAAGCGCACCCAGGTCCTTGCCCTCCGATGAGCTATCCATCTGGGATTTCCAGCTTACATCAACATCTGAAGTTTCTTAGCAATTAATAATTTGCTCGCAAATCATCAATGACTGTACAGCTTGGAGAGAAGTTATAAAATAATACCTCTACTCTGACTTACGTACTTTCGATTTCCATCTGGTGGAAATTTTCCGATTACTGAAAAAGTCTTGATGTTAATTTATTTTCCACCACGTGCGCTTTGACTGAAATTGATCTCCATAATTTAATAAAGTCACATTAAGACCATATGATAGTTTCACAGTCTATAAAAGCACTCTAAACTGAAATACTTTAAGCAATTCTAAATATATTGGCTTAAGTATTTCAATTAATTGAACAGGTGTTGTGAAACCCGATGGTTGAGAATTACATATTTCAAGACCATCTGTTCCATAAGGAGGGTATCTCATTTCGCTGTGTGATTACAACAATAAGTTTTGCAATCATTCATAGCTGTCATTACATTAATCAAGTAAGGAAGATGCGAAAGCAACATTGAACACAGCGTATTTACAGAGCTGTTTTCCATACTTGCGTTACACTGCAAACAGCTGGACGTAACATCTAACTTGGTATGTCCGTTGTCAAGTTGAGTGTATTCGCCTTATCTTTGTTTTGTTGGGACAATAATTTCTAGACACAATTATGCAGAGTGAACACACATATCTAGAGTCTTTTATAGGGTATAAATTGAATTAAACTCTTTCATGCATCAGTTTTTAACAAAAAATGGAAATAACTTCTATTAACGCGATCAAAAGAGTCGCCTATTCACACCTTTTATTAATGTTAAGACCGGCTTTTGAATATAAGTCAAAATCAAAACAGAATCTAAGTTTTCTTAATTTACAAGCAGCATTACTATTCTTTGACTCCTAGTTCACTAGGTTTTGATTTCATCAAAAGAGGAGTCATTTTTGTTAAGCAGTAAATATGTTTATAGAATTTTGTGTACATTCAGTGTATAATTTTTTGAGAAGGTTGGAGACGATATGTGACTGGAGTGGATGGTATTGATGATTTTGTGTCCTCTTGATCTTGGTGTTGATTGGTTGTTGATATGAGATTATGTGATTTATGCAGAATGCAGCTACTGAGGATTTTATGACTTGGTGGCAAACCCAGTATTGCATAGTGAGATATTTTTTCCATAGCGTTTATTATTCATTTTGGTGACCTGATGGAAAGGGAAAGATAAGACTGATTCGAAGTTATATCCTAAAAGTGTGAAGACCATGGTTGGATCTTATGTTTAGTTAGGATAAGAAATTCAGTGCTTTATGCATGAAGAATAATTTCGTAATGCCAGAAATCATACGTGAGTGTGTTCTCTGAACCATTTGCAATGCATATAATTCCTCTTTTAAAGCAAGAGTTGCCGTATGGATACAGCTTTCTAGTTTTGATCTCTCTAGAGCTATGAACACTTCACTGGCGATTCTAGTAAAAGATATTACAGTGCTTTTGAGTACACTACAGACGGTTTTGATTTAGTTGTGTTCTACGAGCTGGTTGGTGAAATTGTGAAGCTTTCACTGTCATTCTAGACAACATCTTAAGCGCTGAAAATGTCTAGAAAGACAGAAAAAGCTTCGCAATTAAATCAATCAGCTCGGGGAACACAACTTAATCAGAATCATCCACCTTAGATACAAATCTCCATTACTACAGATGGTTGTCCAGGAAGAGTTTTGAGTTAATCCGGACGGGAAGACCACCTACTGTTTCTAAAGTTTTCAGTTTCTTGAATAATCTTGCTTGAGACGCTTTGTCGAAAGCCACCCTGAAATCACTTAAGTCAACGTCGGCGGATTTCTTGCCATGACTGACTGATCGGTCTTCAACGTGGAAAATTGTAAAAAAGTACAGTAGTTCAAGTTGCTACACTCAATACAACACGAAAGTAGTCAAAAGAAAAAAGGAAATTCAAAAGAATGATGAGAAATTAGCAACTACAGAAGGAAAAACACCATGATTCAATGAGTCTAGGGGATAAAGAAGAGTGCCATTCAGAACAATTTTGAGCCACATAATCAACAGTCTCTAGACATTAGTCTTTAGCGTTTCGAGGTCCCTATGCTACATGGAGTGTGACGACTCAAACTGTTGCAAATCGGTGCACAGTTCTATGTTGAAACCAGTCAGTCAGGTCCGCAAGCAGTCTGCAAACCTCGTATGTAGATGGTTCAAACCAACTGTCATAGACTTTATGGATTGATGCCAGGTTTTGATTTGACTACGCCTAACGTTTTCCAACCGGATCGTATGTTTGCTGGTATTTCTTAAAGATGGAGACGGTGGCTTGACATACACAACATACGTTGTAGCCATCTCAGTTAGTTTACCTTCACGACCCCATCTATTGACTTTCTTCTTTACCTAACACTGAGACTAACGCAAGTATTACTCACTATAATATACTGCTTAACATAGGAGATAGAATGCAAACATCTGTGATCAAATACAAGTTACCTCTTCAAGTTTTCCACTTTCAAGAATCATTCCTCACAGCTATGAAAAAAAATAGGACAAACTGCTGCGTTTTGCGATTGACAGCCGGCTGTCACATCCACGGTAGAGATGACGTAAGTTGGTGAATTCCTCACTAACCTTTTGTTTTTGTGATGAGATTTCGTCTGCAATTAGTTCATTAGACTTATCGCAACTTCGGAAATAGCTGAAGTGGTCAAGATGCAAGACAAGTTCACTCCCTATTTTTAGACTGAGAGTTTCTTGTCAACCTAGATTTCTCTTACTATGAGGTTTGTCAAATATGAAAGGTTTCCTCTATAACTGTACTGTGCGTTGGATAATGAGTCGTTATTAGCCACGGTGCTAAATATCTTGGGGTTAAATTGTTTATCTGAAGATTTCAAAGTTATACACGTAACTGAAATTTCATTTTGTTGTCATAATCATTGGAGGGTTGCTTATGCTATAAATTTTATGGAATTTCTACAATTTTACATACCCTGCTATTGTCTTTTAACGTTTTTGGTTAAAATGAAGGTAAAATTTACAGATAAAGCTTTGCTTCATACTTTCTACTGTATTTTTAACCTCAAATAATTTGATACGAAGAATGATACTATCAACTATTTTCACTTATTAAGTGTATGTTCATTCCTTATAATAATAATGGAGAAAATTAAAGTTATCGTTTGAACTCAGTTGCGCAGGAGAGATTTTTCACATATGATGTTATGAATCACACTTACTTTTTGAGGACTGATGATGTCATCCAGCTACCCAGGCTGATGTAAATGGGGTGTGATCCGAACTCTGGGCCTATTAACTGTAAGTGGAATGACTGACCGACTGGTTTCAACATAGAACTTTGCGCCGGTGTGCATTAGTTCGAGTCACCACTCTCCCTTCATGTAGCACACAAAGTAAGAGGAGAAAGTAAAAACAAATTCAAGATCATAAGTTTCAAGGAGTGGATGCATCTGCGCTGTAGACTGAGAACGATTTTGAGCCATATCACTAGTTGTTTCCAGCCGTTGGGTTTTACTGTCCCAGGGACCCCAACCAGGAAGTCTGCATATTCCTACGTGACTTAAACTTACTGTTGTGGATCTCATTAACTGGTGCCATGTTTTGGTTTGACCACCACTAGCTCTTTTCCGACTTGATCCACCCTGTGTCAGCTAACATTGCTCAATGTCAAAGAAGACGATAGCTAGGAATGCGTATTACTTCTCCTAACCAGCTCAACAGATGTAGCTACACAACTGTGATAGATTTTCCCTCCTTACATAGCACTGGATGCCTAGTCTCAATACTAATCACCCAGTTATACCACCTAACATGGGAGATAAAACGCAGACACCTATGATCGAAGACAGCTAGCTGGCCTTTTTATGTCTCCTACTTTTGATGGCCATGTCTCACCCTCAGCCATTAAGGGGGACGGAACAAACTGCTGAGAAGTATACACCTTTTTTTATTCGGCAACTAGCCGGATATCGTGACTGTACCGGAGATCGTCAGAGGTTGGAAACTGCCACACAAACCTTCTGTATCCATGGTGAGATTTTGTCAGCGATCAACCTTTTGGGACTGATGCAACTTCCCAAATAAATGAAGTGGTCTACACGCTTAGCAACCACTTCACTCCCCATCTTTAAGCTAGGAGTTGATTTAGTCCAGTCCTCTAGCACCACCTTACATTTGGCGGGAGCGAATCGTATGCCAAACATTCGCAGATTACAGCACAATGTGTTTAGAAGACTCTGCGTTTTATCAGCACCTTCACCTAGGAGGACTATATCATCCTCATACTCTAATTTGACGAGATTGTTCCACATATTCTAAGTCAACAAGACTATTCTTTGGTAACAAGTCAATCCCTAAGTCGCTGAAGTCCTTTAGGGTTAAGTCCATTAGTACATCTATGCTGGAATTAAACAGAAAAGGGGACATTGGGAATCCTTGACGGCCACCAGTGGTTGTCATCACTTCATACGACAACTCTTCATAAGCTCTTACACAACTTCATGAGTTCGAGTAGAGTACTTTGATCAGTAGGATTTACTTTATTGGTACTCCTTTCACTGCTAAACATTGCCATAATACCTCTCGATCGACGGAGTCAAATTCCGCCTTCAGGTCAGAATGCAGTGTTGCATAGCTGTTGTTGAGATTTATTTGTTTCGGTACTAAATTATCCACTTCCCCACCGTCCCATGCACAGAAGTTCTTTTAGCTAAGAAGCCAAACATTATCCTTCGAACGATCTATAGGTTCATTTTTGTGTTGAACAATTAGCAAAATGAAATCCAAAAAGAAAGAAAAATACCATAATCACTAGATTTAAAATATAGATGGTAATGAAAAGAAACATTCTCGTCAGGTATTTTAAGAGGACATATTTATCGGCTGATTTTGTCTTTCTAACATTTTTGCCAAAAACTGATAAATTTATGATGGGTTGGTTCTTAATATAAAAGCTACCCCAAAATTATTTTCGAATCAACATTTTTATCCAGTGATACTATGGTTATTCATCCCGTAGAAATACCTCCATAGTGCATGTTTCAATATAATAAAGTAATGCAAGACGTTTCCCCATGATCACAATGAATCCTTTGTACAATTATTATTGTCCCTGTGAGTTCCGAGTGGAAAATAGGGCTTCAACAACACATCTCCACTTTCTTCTCTTTTCTGCCATCCTCTTCAACTGGTTCCACGATTGTCCGTAGTATCTCTTCTCCTCCTCACACGACTTCTTCCATGTCAACCTCGCACCGACGACCAACTCGTCGCTCCTCATTGGGATTCCATTCAAGCAATAGCCTGCATTGAGCGCGATGTCATCCAACGGCCTCCTCACCGTCCGCCGATACATCTCCATTTTCTCCTACAAATTTGTTGAGCAATCAGCTCTTGGTCGGTTTGTTTATTACCAGAGTTCCGTGTTGCTAATTCTTTCTGGCAGGCTGTCCATTTGATCCTCAGTATGGATCCAGCGAAGGCAGCTGTTGATAAAAGTCTGCGACCTGCAAGAAATCCTTGTCGTTACGCACCGGCGAAGTTTCTGACCGTTATAGAAGGACCGATTTGACATTGGTGTCGAAAATGAGAATCTTGTTCCTTTTGATGAGTGCAGAAGATTTTCAAATTGGTTTCAGTTTGATAAAGACGTATCTTGCCATTCTGACTTTGACATCAATAAATAACAAAAAAAGAATCTTCTCCATTCAGTGTATTAATTGATGATGTTATGTGTAAATCAAAGTCTTTTCTTACGAATTATTGTAACATCTTGTATCGACTAGCTCAGTATTACATAAGGCTGGTAAGTCTTCCAAGGAGGTTTTGAGCCTTCAGTGATTTCAGTTGCTGTGAAATGGGCTACACATACTGAGACAAAGCATATAAGTGTTGGCTAAAAATAACTCGAGGTCAGGAAAGAACTAAGACTGTTTAGATGAAAAAATGACACCATGGACCTTTGAAGTGATTCATGCAGAGAGATGTGGCTGGAGTTAATAGCTGAAGTTACTTCGTGATAAGCTCTAAACAGTTCACAACGCTACAGATATATGCGCCCTCTACTCTCCTCAAAACTCTGGACCTCTTCACTGATCAATTTTTTTTCAATTTTGACCACGGATTAATATCAGTCAAAGAAACATTGAAAATCAGGGAGTAGTGGACACCTGTTTCGCTCTAGTTTGGGATTCGTCAGCAGTATGCACCCACTGAAGGCCAAATAAGTCCTAAATTTGGACGAACTAGCTGTCTAGTACGCCTTGATGGGTTCTTAATGGTTCTCTTTTTTTTCCTCCACGTTTCCCAGTGGAACATAGGGCTTCAAGCTAGTGGCGTGAAGTTTCTGTAGCAGTGGTGGTTATTTTTACAGGATGGGGTTGCTAGCCTCATGTCCAACCTTTCCTCTTTACCAGGATTATTTCTAGCTTAGCGAGGTAAAGGAGTGGATGCATCTGCGCCAGCCATCACCGAGAACGATTTTGAGCCATGTCACCAATTGTTTCCAACCATAGATTTTTACCGTCCCGAGGACCCCAACAAGTCAGGAAGTCTACACCTTCCTACGTGACTTAGACCAACTGTTGTGGATTTCATTGACTGGTGCCAAGTTTTTTGTTTGACCGCCGCTAGCTTTTTTCCAGCCTGATCCTATGTTAGCTAACATTGCTCGTCGAGGAAGGCGATGACTAGTCATACGTAACACATGTCCTAACCATCTCAGTCTTTGTAGCTTCACGACTTCGTCGATTGATTTCCCTTGTTTACCTAGAACTCTACGCCTAACCTCCATGTTGCTCACCTTATTATGCCACTTTACACGGGAGATAGAACGCAGGCACATATGATCAAAGACAGCTAGTCTTTTCATGTCTTCCACTCTCAGTGGCCAGGTCTCACAACCATAAAGGAGGACGGAGCGGACTGATGAGCAGTACACCCGCCCTTTGGTCGATAGCCAGCCGGATATATGTCTACGCCAGAGACGGCGTAAACTGGCATATGCGAAAGTAGCCTTTTGTATCCGTGTTGATATTTCGTCAGAGATCAACCCGTTGGCACTGGCTGATGGTACTTCCCAAATAAGTGAAGCGGTCAACGTGCTCTACCACTTCACTTCCTATTTTTAAACTAGGCGTCGATGTAGTCCAGTCCTGTAACATCATCTTGCATTTGGCGGGAGCGAATCGCATGCCAAACATTCGTAGATTGCAGCTCAAGGTGTTTAGAAGACTCTGCATTTCGTCAGCGTCTTCGCCTAGAAGGACTATATCGTCTGCATATTCCAAGTCAACGAGATTATTCCCCGGTAGCAAGTCAATTCCTGAGTCACTGAAGTCACCTAGGGTTAAGTCCATTAACACATCTATGATGAAGTTGAATAGAAAAGGGGATAATGGGCATCTCTGACGGACACCACTAGTCGTCACCAGTTCAGATGACAACTTACCGTAAGCCCTCACCTGGCTGCATGAGTTCGAGTAGAGTGCCTTAATCAGTGAAATGTATTTTCTCGGAATCCCCTTTACAGTCAAGCATCTCCAGAGAATCTCTCGGTCGACATAATGGAATTCCGCCTTTAGGTCAAGAAGTATAATGGTTGTTGGACGCCGGTAGGAATGCCTATGTTCTAAAATCTGTTGGAGGGTGAAGTTATGATCAATACACCCTCTTCCTGATCTAAAGCCTGCCTGGCTCTCTCGTGTTTGTGCTTCCCGAGCACCACTCAGTCTACGCATGATTACTGAGCCTAGGACTTTAGATACTATATTAGTTAAGCTAATCCCTTTGTGATTATCACAGGAGGATTTGTCTCCCTTCTTGTATATGGGGATAGTCGGTGACTTACACCAACCCGATGGGACTTCTTCTGATTCCCAGACGCTGCCTAGTACCTCAGTTAATGCAGACAGTAAGCTGTCTCCACCGTACTTAAATACCTCTGGAGTCATTCCATCAGGTCCTGCTGGTTTGACTCATTTCAGACCAGTGACAGCTTTAGTTACCTCAGTTAAGGAAGGGGGACCTGTTTCTCTATCCCATTCAGGGAGGTGTTGGGTGTTCGGCAGGTTGAGCGTGGCTGTGGGCCAATTAAACTGCTCTTAGTGTTCTTTCCAGCGTTCCAGTCGTCTATCCTGGGAGCTAATTATAGTGCCACTTTTCTCCGAGATTGTTTCACTTATGATTTGCCTTCTCCCACCCGTTTCCCTGATGAGTCTAAAGAGTTGTCTAGTGTCGCCTATTCCCGATGCTTTTTCCATCGCTTTCGCCTTTGTGTAAGTGCTTTATTTTGGTGTATTGTGATCCACATAAATAATAAAATAGAACTCAGAGGGTATATATAAATTGCATTTGTCAGGTAAATGACTCAACTGTTTCTTAATACCTAATTAGGCTTTCAAGAGTTTTTTGTGCAGGGATTAGATCTGTTTATACGAATTCGACCACGGATTGGGCCATTGAATCGGGTCCCAGTGGCTGAATGGTGTACGAATTCACCTTGTAACTGGAAGGTCTTGGGTTCCAGCCCTAGTGGGTGCGTACTGTTGACGATTCCCAAACTAGGATGAAACGGCTCTCCAGTACTCCCTGGTTTTCAATGCTCCTCTAGCTGATATCAATCCGTGGTCAAACTCGTATAATCCTAATTATGTGTTATTAGACAGACACTGTCAAAGAATATGTACGTTTAAATCGAAATACTTAATCTTGAAGATAGCGTCACTAAATTTTTATTGTCTTATGGCGCTCATTCACATAACTTCTCTTTTGTTACGAATAAAGTATGTCGTAAAATAACTTCGTGGTTTTCTTTTATGTATATATATATATATATATATATATTAATTATCATTCTAGAAACTTCAGTAGCATCTTTTTTCTTTTATTTACAGGTGTCCAATGTCAGTACAATTGGAAGAGTTTCCACAATCCTCAGGTCTAATTGGTCATTCTAATCAGGCTAACACCTCCAACGATGTAAATGCATTAAAGGGTGAAGAGAGTAGAAAGTCTATAGAAATTGCTGAATATCTATTGGATAAGAAACTCTACTTATCTGCACTGGAATATTATTTTGAACAATTGGAACGTGGCAAAAGCATCAAAATTTTACATGAATTTTTTACTAGTCCAAATTTTGTTGACAACTTAAATAATCTGTCTTCTGTAGAATCACCTAGTTTACTAATGGGTAAGCATCTGTTGTTTGTAGGTGTATGTAGATTGTATATCCGTATACTTTCTTTTTTTTCTGTTCTGTTTTGTTTCGCTAGGCAAATATCCAAGTTTGTCGTCTCTAGACTCATCCGATATTGGACGGATCTCTGATGATGGAAATACAGTAGAAGAAAAATTAAAAGGTAGCGTCAATTTTACTCTTATTTTTGTTTATCTATCCAATGAGTAATTAGTAACTGCTGGAAAATTTCCATGGGGTCTGTCTCTGTCTGTCTGTCTGGATTCAACATAGAACTTGGCACCGAAGTGCAGCAGTTCGAGTTGCCACCTTCCAAATAGCACACAGAGGTAGACAAGAAGATGAGTGAAGAGAATCAATAGAGTTTGACAAGTATAAGAGTGAAACAGAATGGGTAATGGTAGAAAGGAATATGAAAGATTACAGAGACTGAATACATCTGCGCTGGCCATTGACAACGATTTTGAGCCATGTCACCTATTGTCTCCAGCCATTGATTCCTAGAGTCCCGAGGGCCCCAACCCGGGAGTCTGCATCTCCCTACCTGACTCAGTTTAACTGTCAAGGATTTCATGGATTGATGCCATGTTTTTGTTTGGCCACCACTGGCTCTTTTCCAACCTGCACCTATATCAGCTAGCAATGCCCGTCGGGGGAGGCGGTGGTTAGGCATGCGCAGCACGTGACCTAGCCATCTTAGTCTATGTAACTTTATAGCCTCGTCGATTGATTTTCCCTCTTTGCCCAACACTCTACGCCTAACGTCAACATTACTTACCTTGTTAAACCACCTAACGTGAGACAGAGATCGCAGACATCTATGATCGAAAGCAGTCAACCTTTTCATGTCTTCAACGCGTATTGGCCATGTTTCAGAGCCATAGAGAAGGACGGAGCGAACTGATGAGCAGTACACACGTCCCTTGGTTGATAGCCAACCGGATGTCACGCCTACGCCAGAGATGGTGTAAGTCAGCGAAAGCAGCTCGAGCTTTTCGGATCCGTGCTGAGATTTCATCGCCAATCAGTCCGTTGGTGCTAATACAACTTCCCAAATAGGTGAAGTGGTCAACATGTTCTATCACTTCACTCCCTATCACTAAGTTAGGAGTTGACGTGGTCCAGTCCTGTAGCAGCATCTTACATTTTGTAGGGGCGAATCGCATGCCAAACATACGAAGATTGCTGCTCAAGGTGTTCAGAAGACTCTGCATTTTGTCAGCATCCTCCCCTAACAGGACTATGTCATCTGCATATTCTAAGTCCATAAGACTATTCCCTGGTAACAAGTCGATTCCTAAGTCATTACGTTCAGTTAAGGATACTTCCATCAGCATATCTATGATGAAGTTAAACAGAAATGGGGAAAGTGGACATCCCTGTCGGACACCACTGGTTGTTACCAATTCAGATGACAATTCCCCATAAGCCCTTACACGACTACGTGAGTTTGAATAGAGTGCCTTGATTAGTGCAATGTACTTTCTTGGCACTCCCTTCACAGTCAGACATTGCCATAGTACCTTTCGATCCACGGAGTCGAAGGCCGCCTTCAAGTCAAGAAATATGACAATTGTTGGACGCCGAAAAGTGTGTCTATGTTCTAGAATCTGTCGAAGAGTGAAGATATGATCTATGCACCCTCTACCTGGTCTAAAGCCTGCTTGATTTTCCCTTGTCTGTTCCTCCCGAGTTCTGCTTAGTCTATGCATGATTACTGAGCCTAGGATTTTAGAGACTATGTTCGTTAGGCTGATCCCCCTATGATTATCACACGAGGACTTGTTTCCCTTCTTGAATATCGGTATAATAAGTGACTTACCCCAGTCTGATGGCACTGTCTCTGATTCCCAGACTTTGCCTAGTACCTCAGTTAATCTACAAACTAGTATGTCACCCCCATATTTAAACACCTCCGGAATAATTCCGTCGGGTCCTGCCGCTTTGCCTCGTTTCAAATTACTGATAGCTTTTGTGACCTCACTTACAGACGGCGGACCAGTGTCTATATCCCATTCGGGTGTGTCTGGATGTCGGGGAGGTTCAGTGTGGCTGTAGGCAAGTTAAATTGTCCTCAAAGTGTTTTTTCCAGCGTTGAAGGGATATATGGAATATTAAAAGAAGTGATTCAGTGAAGAAACTCTTTTCAACGAATTTATTGTCAAGCTGTGAATTATTCTATATAGCGAAAATATTCATTCAGATATATAGAAAAAACAAAAAATTGAGCAATGAATATCCTTTTCGATAATTTACTCCTCTGGTTCTACAGTTATATATATGTTTATATACATAGAATATTCTGGAATAGTTGTCATTAACAGTATTGATATTTTTTTGAATAATATTGATTTGTTAAGTAAGATCAATGGAATTACAGTTCATTAAAGATGCTTAAATTATAATAAGCATAAAAATGTAACCGCGAATAGAATATCAAATAAAATTAAGGAAATTTCCGCAACAAATCGAGGATCATTAGAACCTTGATGGCCAAGGTAAGGACAGTGTCTGAACCAACTTCTTTTAGATTTCTTAATGTAGATCCCAACAGCCTCCGCAATATATAGTAGACGAATTCTTAAGGTGAAGTTAAGATTTGTTGGTATGCGGTAAATGACTTTGAAAGCCTCTTTAACATCAGTCTTGTGTTCTGTATCCAGAATATGAGATAGAATAGCGCTACGAATAGATTTTGTTTGTCCTTTGCTTAATCACTCAGGCTGATTTTCAGAAATCCGACGAGAAACACACCTAACTGTACGGCCTATGTAACTGGCCACACAGGAAGAGTAGATTTGGTAGATACACATAGAAGAGGCGAAATCAGGAACTTTGTATTTTACTCCCGAACGCAAAAGAAGAGTGGTTTTGAAGACACAGTGTAATTCGGTAGCAGGGAATGCTCTTTTTACCCCATTTCTAAGGCGTTGTGTTGGTATCTCGCTGATGTTATCCCGAGGAACTGAACTTGTAAGAACTGTTGGTACCTTGGACTGCGTTGATTTTAAATCCATATTCATATCAATAAACTTTTCTGGATAACCATTTTCACTCAGCAACCGTTTATTAGGTTCATCATCAAGACATTCATCCGAACAGATTGTTCTTGCTCTGTGAACCAAGCACTTTATCAGATTGAGTTTGTATTTCAAAGGCGCTAAGCTGGAAAAATGAGTATACTGACCAGTTGATGTAGGTTTTCTATATACACTTCTTCTTATTGTACCGTCCTTTTTTCTGGTCATAAGGACGTCTTAAAAGTGAAATACTAGTCTTTTTCTTTCTCGATGGTAAAATTTATTTCAGGATGAACACCGTTAATTCTATATATGACATTATTTGTTTTGCCACTTGACATGTAACTACGCTTGTAATCACAAACATTTTAATTGCACTTCATGCTACTATTTTTATTATTTTATGTATTCATACCTTTGATTCAGTCTCTCCTCAGGATATAATTTCTATAAAAAAATCCCATATATACGATTGTACAGCTTGATATTAATTTTTGTTGAAAAGAGTCTCTTCGGTGAATCATTTGTTTTAGTTAGTAATATTAGCATTCACATGGAAACGTGATAACTTTAGTCTCCGTTGTGTAAGACTGTGATTGTATATACTGTTGGATGAGTCATAAACTACGAGGAAATCACTGGGCCAACATAAACAATAGTGACCACAGAGTGTGAACGCACCAATGACCTTGAACGCATATCGTTAGTTGGATTACAGAACCTGCCGTTATTACATCGCCCAGTATGAACTATGTGCACGAATCGGGATGCAAATTTCATCCTGATCTTGTTTTTAAGAACTGTTTCGACAGTAAGCTGATAGCCCGTTAGGGTGACGAATGTGATGAGGACTAGTATTAGGGTTAGGAGTAAGATAAGTATTAGGGTTGGGATTAGGATTAAGGTAAAGATTGGAGTGCAGGTGTTTTGTTATTATTATTATCTGTATTTTTCATGGAAATAGATAAATGAGAAGAGAGTGTTTCGTTTAATTGAATTTGAGATTTTCCCATCGATTGATTGGACCGAAGTGCTCGGTCTCAGGTTGACATGTTGGCTTCTTGTGCAGATGCTTCGACGATTAGTATTGAATACTAATTAAATGCCCGGACATCGTTGGTGCGTTGGTGGCACAGTGGTTAGGACTCTCGCCGACCATGCACATGGTCCGGGGTTCGAGCCCACGCCGACGCACACTTGATATTTATGGTCGGCCTGCAAAATTTGGGCTACAGATATCTACGCTGAAAATTCCATACTTGTACCAAAAATACAGTGTGGAATTAAGCTGCAACCAAAAATAAAATAAATAAATAAAAAAATAAATCAAAAATTCAATTAAATTAATATGACCCGTTGCACAAGAGGTGGCTCTGGTGGCTCAAGTGGTCTAGTGAATAACTCTTTGGCGTTTGAAACCATGGTCACTGGGTTCGAGCCTCGGTGGGAACATCATCACTCACTGAGATACGCAGGTACATCTAGCTGGCGAGTCCCAAATAGGACGAAATGCGCGTTATCCTGGATTCCACTGCTAGTCACCATCCACCAAGTGAAGAGTGTTTCGTTGTTCATGTAGATGAAATTGTTTTGATATCTGTGAAAATATCATCCTTAATGTTTTCCACTATGATTACGTTAATTTTTCTGTTACGTAAACGGCTTTTCTATATGTAATATAATATATACGGCAGGCTCTGTAATCCAACAGATGGCATGCATTCAAGGTTATTGGTGCGTTCGCACCCCGTAGCCACTGTTCTTTATGTCTACCAATCACTGTCGGGTATCACGTTGTTTTGTGGAGACATAATTCCGTTACCTTCAGTACTTGACTTTCAGTTTGTTACTTGTCAAACTGAGGTTTCCCAATGCGTAACCCCACATACATAAGAAAAATTTACGCCTTGTCGTTTGGTTGGTGTAGTTTAATAAAAGGAAAACGAAACTTGCATAAACACAATCAGAAGTTAATCACTTATCTCTGTGTTTTTATTTTTTTTATGGTAAAATAGTGCTTGAATATGAGTTACGCAAAAAGAATGATGAAATCAGTACACTAAGAAATGAATTGACTAATTTAGTAGCCTGTGGATTTAAAGGTGGCAGTATCGCAACATCGTCACAAGCTGCAGGTAATGTTTACCACAAGTTGTCAAGAGTTATTTTATTTTGTCTTTTTGTTTTGTTGTGGCTTATCTTCTTAATCACATGACTTTCAACTAGTTCAACCTCGGTTCTGTCTGTCTGAAGCTAAACGACCTAGTAATTAGTAGTATAGTGTAGGCTGTTACACATCAAGTCTGCTAACATGTACAGTCTAACAAATAGAAATACATGTACAGAGTAAATAAGTGCGTGTTTAATTTGTTGGGAAGCCTATGAGGAGATTCTGATTGGATAGATTCTCTCTGTTACACTTCTATACATTTCTATATTACACTTAATTCTAACAGATCTGGAATAAATTTCGTATGTAATTGGCTACGAAGCCCATACTTGCTGTTTTGAGGGCTGATGTAATACTTGGAACCTGACCACACTGAGACAGAGTGGAGCGGGATTCGAACAACTGGACCTATTGGTCGGAAGTCCAGCTCTTGAAGCAGTTCGCCACATCTTTCTGTCAAAGTTGATTTCTATTTTAGGAGTGATTGTGAAGCGGTAATCAAAAATAAAAAAAACTAAAACAAATACTGATTTCATACATTTATTACCCTTAATGAATTTGAAAAAACCAAGAACTACAGTTTTCGCAGTATAAAGTGGTATCATCATTTATTTCGTTACCTTCTCGCATCAGCTCAACCGCTTACAGTCCAAAGACATTATTAAGTATATCTACAGAAACAATTTTAACATACTTGCACAGAGTTCATTTTAAACAAAAATCAATCGATATACATATATGTATACAGTAATAATATAAACATGTATATATGTAATATTATACACAATGGAAACTTTTCAGCATTTCACATTCAAATGAAAGAGAGATGAAAAATATCCAGTTACCAGGGCAAAGAAGGACTGATAAACTCTTCTTTCTGGATGCATAAATCAGGTTTCAGGCGCTTGATGGAAATGGCGGCTTCAGCAAACTTAAGGAGAATTGAGCTCTTTTGCCTATTGATAATTTTGAACGACTTTTCGATGTCCACTGTTTAAGGCATTTGTTCCCTTTAGACATAAGCTTTTTGGTACATGTTCAGAAGATATGCCCTTCTTTCTGTCCTTCCAATGTAACTGCTCCCGAGGATACATGAAAATTTGTATATACAGTTGGAGCTAACTTGAGACGGATATCTATCGAAATTTGATTGCACCAAAGAGCAGTTACCTTGGAAGAACAGAAACAAGATCATATCTACGATTTTCTGAACATGTACCAAAAAGCTTATGTTTAAAGGGAACAAATGCCTTAAACAGTGCCATCTCCAGACATCTCTTGATACGGATCATGAGGTGGACGTCGCAAAATCATTCAAAAGAGCTCAATTCTCCTTAGGTTTGCTGAAGCCGCCATTTCCATCAAGCGCCTGAAACCTGATTTATGCGTCCAGAAAGAAGCGGTTATCAGTCTTTCTTTGTCCTGTTAACTGGATAATTTCACCTCTCTTTCCTCCGAATGTGAAATGCTAAAAGTTTCCATTGTGTTTAATATTATATATATATATATATATATATATATATATATATATATATATATATATATATATATATGTTATTGCTGTATACATATATGTATATCGACTGATTTTTGTTTAAAATGAACTCTGTGCAAGTATGTTAAAATTGTTTCTGTAGATATACTTAATAATGCCTTTGGGCTGTAAGCGTCTGGGCTGATGAGAAGGCAACGAAATAAATGATGGTACCATTATATGCTGCGAAAACTGTAGTTCTTGATTTGTTCAAATCCTGATTTAGACATACAGTCACCATTGTATTTTGCTACTTTATGCTGTAAATGTCTTTAGTAGCTTCTTATTGTTCTCCATATATATGTAACTTACTGATTTAATCACTCGGCTTTCCAGCCACTGGACCCTAGGTTGAAGCTCCCCTCCCTCGCACCGTAAGTATAGCTCCATAGCCTGACACATAGAAAGACCTGATCTAAGTAATTGAATACAAACAACTTCACTACTGACACTTATTATATGTCATTAACAGTTGACTGTTGGAGTGTTTATCCCATTCATTCATTCATTCATTCATTTATTCGGTGGAGTGTTGTATCGGTGCTTTTAGTTCCCAAATCTATTATAATTACATTTAAGCGAATATTTAATAAATCTCACATTATAAACACATTTTACAACACCTTATTTGGTTCAACGATTTGACAATAGTTGTTACTATGACAACTTGCATGTGTCACTTTGCCTCCTAATTATTGATTCATTATTACAACTAGTTGAAAGTAATTGATTTCATTTGAAGATTTTAGGTAGTAATGTATGCGCGTATGTGTGTGTATATAGTGTTTGACAAGCATATACTTTTCCCAACGTACGCAACTGACAAATTTCATTAGTCTTTTTGGGGTGTTTAGCTGTAACTGCCCGATTCTTATATTTGTAAAAAGCTATCTAGTCACCTGAAAGAATCACCAACAAAAAACTATGGGAACAAACAAAACAAAAACCAATCACCCAAGAAATATGCAGGAGAAAGTGGAGATGGATTGGACACTCGCTTGCTGAGGAGGCCGCTGGGTGACATCGCGCGCGCGTCAGGCCATTGCTCGAGTGGAAACCGAAAGGGAAGCGGCGAGTGGGGCGTCAGTGCAAGGGTGACATGGAGGAGATCGTGTGAAGAGGAGTTGAAAGAGTATGGACTAACATGGATGCAGGTGAAAAGTACAGCAGAAGGAAGACAGAAGCAAGTGAAGACGTGCAGTTGAAGCCCTATGTTCCACTAGGAATCCAAGGGAACAATAATAATAATAAACAATCTTAGTCACAAAGGCATAGTTTTGTTGTCAATCGATATTAGCTATAGGATCAATAAAAATCAAGGAACATGTATTCATAGATTGGAATTCTTAAGCAGTGCTCACTTACTCATCATTCGATATACATCCTCTATCTATATATCATCTATCATCTCTAGCAGGATCTTAAATTATGAAATCATCTCATTAATGTAGTCAGTTATGTTGGTTGTTGCCCTAGGAACCATTAACAGTTCTATGCTGTTGGATCACCTGGTCAAAAAAGGCTACAAAGCTAACACTGAAGAATCTTTGTCTATCATCTATTGGGTGTCGAATAAACTACTACATGTCTCTAGATGCCGATCACCTCTAACAGAAGAAGCCATTGCTATCCGCTTAAGTCGACCGGAGCTCTGCATGCAAAATAAGCAAGTCAAGCCGTCACTCCTACCCTTGGCCTACTGTCAATCCCATAAATTCCTTAATTCTGTGTTACTTCACTTGATTTATCTGGTATTCAACCAGTTTAGTGTTGGTATATTAGTGCATATTAGTCTCTCTCTCTCTCTCTCACTTACCGATGCTTTTGAACTGTAATCACCTATCAATACTATTGATTGATTCAGTGTAAATTAAAACTGCATTAATGTTGTTAATAAGAACATTTCTTTGATTGTTACTGTCATATAAGTGTAAAACCTGATGGAGAATTCTTCATTCAAACCTACAAACTCACTCAGCGACAAGCTTTGTGGGCTATAGGATCCGGTGGATCCAATGAAACAAAATAATATAATTTACAAAACACCTTGTAGTGACTATGAGGTCAACTACATAGGACAAACTAGTAGGTCGGGGTAGTCAGATTGTCGGAACTTAAGAATTGAGCTAAGAATAGTTGACCTCAAGAACATAAGTAATTTAGAAAAAAGCTCAGCGATTGCACTACATACATTAACACAAAACGACATAATAGGGTGGAACAGGGTTAAAATTCTAAAGAGTAATATAGGTGGGTGGAGAAAAAGATTGATTACTGAATTCTGGTTCATTGGGTCTACACCCAACACATGCAAAAGAAATGATTCAAGGCGAATTCTAGAGATATGGAAGATATTATTACCATTAGTCAAATCAGAGGAGGATAATAAATAATCTTAAAATGCTATTTCAATCCACGTACATTATGACATCATAACAAGTTACTTATTTTGACTATAAAAACATATTTCCCATCTGATTTTACTTGGTCAATAACACTCAAATTATTATTTCCGAATGTACATTATCACATTGATTTTTATTCCAATATCTGGCAATTCCACACATGTATATAAATGAAGCAAGCAAGTTGTGTGAGTGACGTGATATGATATGTGTGCGTCGGTGGCACAGTGGTTAGGACTCTCGCTGACTATGCACATGGTCCGAGGTTCGATCCCCTGCCGACGCACACCTGATACCACTGGTCGGCCTGCGAAATTTGGGCTACCGATATCACACTCTGAAAATTTTATACTTGTACCAGAAACACGGTGTGGAATCAAGCTGTAATCAAAAATAAAAAAAAATAAATAAAAATAATGAGCAATAATGTGTGCTCGAAACGTCGTCATCAATAAATATTACTGTACAACACTGTGAGATTCATCAAAATAAAATCTTATCCATAATGGAGTTATGCTCTACCACAGTACCCAAGTTTTATACTGATGACGAATTTATTGAAGAGAACACTTTCTGTTTATTAATCAGTCTTTTGAATTTATTATGCTAGGTACAGTCGTAAGTATTTAGAAGAATTTCGCTTACAGAACAATAAACTAAAAGAAGAGATTCGCTTCCTTGCGGTTACTGGTTTAGACAGTCGGGTACTGTCATTAGCCTCCACATAATATGATGTGTAACTTGTTCCCAACCGTATGAAATGGTAGGCAGTCGCTGAGGTAGCCTTTCCAAATCATCTACTCATCAATAAGGTTGACACTCACAGTGTGTTATCCTGTCTAGACACCACCGAACACGATATCAGTCAGAGTGATGATAATTTGAGTTATAATTATCACCCGGGGTAACCGATGTCATTCATCCAGTCTTGAGCATTGTCGCTGTCATCTTTGCCGTATATGTTCACTGAGCAAGTTAACTCGCCATCATCTCGGTGCAGCTTCAATTTATCGTTAAGCGGTTTGATGATACTGGTTGTAGAGGTTACAGATATACCGTGCTGATGAGTTCCAATAAACACAAAATTTAGGAGTAGAATAATATTTAAAATAGATGAGTCAGTTGACAGTTGTACTAATTTGTTTTGTATTCCTCTGAAGGCTAACCAACAGAATAAAAAAATGTATAAATTAAATTAAAATGTATAATGTAGGGCGGTTTTCATTGTATTCTTAAGAGCATGGAAATGCTTGCTAATTGTGTTATTCATACTTCTCAATAATCTGTAATATAAAAGGCATTCTGTTGTTATAGATTTTTAATTTAAACTGAGGATAAATCAATTCTTGAAATGTTTGTTTAATGCGTGATTTAAACAAACAAACAAACAATCAATATTTAGTGGTGCTTATATGTCGTTGTTGTTATTGTTGTTGGTTTAAAAAAAAAATTAGATTCTACTTTGGGCACACATCTTTGGCATAACTTCAATAGTGGTACACAGAAGACACTGCCTCATGAATTACGTGCATTATCATTTTTAATTAATGAATACTTATTGGAACAAAATTTTCGTCTTACTGCAATTCAATTTGCTGAAGAAGTGGAGGAACACAATCTGCCCAGCTTGGAATCATGGCATGAAGTATGATATTTTTAAATATATATATGTTGTATATGTAATTATTATTGTTTCCTTAGGTTCTAAGTGGAACATGGATAGATTGCTTCAACAGCACGCCCCCACTTTGTCTTATTCCCTCTTTAGCTAGTTGCACGATTGCCCATAGTCTCTCATCTCCTTCATATCACCCTCGGATCTACTCCATACTCGTTGTTTCCCATTCGTGTTCCGCTCGTGCGATGGCCTGCATAGTGCGCGATGTCATTTGATAGTCTTCTCAGAGTGTTCCCAATCCATCTCCATTTTTTTCTGCATATTTGTTGTGCAGTCGGTCAGGACTTCCCCAGAGTTTCTTGTTGCTAATTATTTCTGGCCGGCCATTTGATCTTCAACATGAAACCAACGAAGGCGGCTGTTGATAAAATTCTTAAGCCGGTTGGACGTAGTGGTCAAGTTTATGACCCATATAGAAGAACTGACTGACTTAGTGATATGTATCCACATATATATATTTATGTGTGTGTGTGCATGTTGGTCTCTCTTTCTGTTTGCTCGGTTAGTCTGTGACCACTTCACTTGTATGGACTTGTCTCCTTTAATAATATGTATTCTCCTTATATTATATTATATATAATATGAGTGTTTGTTGACAGTCCGTTGCTTGTTGACATATATCCATATATGTTTGTTGGCATGTCTGCTATATTCGCTATGTATAATTGGATCGACACTCCATTATAATTAGCCATTCATGTTAAGACTGTCTAATGATTTTTCCCACGCTTGTCTGAATTATTATATATATTCGCATTTACAATTTGTGTGAACTACTTTACTTTACAACTACTTGACTTGCTTACGACTTTGGTGTGAGACCATTTATTTTCGTCTCCTTGTGTTTGGACAATAGAAGTATCATCGCAAACCTAGTGGTCTTCTGATTTCCGCCTTCTCGCGTCAGGACTATTAGTTTCTCGACCAGACCATAACAATAATTCAGCGACGAGTACATAACAATTTGTCGACGGGGAAAACTAGTACATAACACTTAGCATTTGCGTTGAGAATCTGAATTTCTTTGTTTCTGATGAGGAGTGCAGAAGACTTCTAGATGAAGGCTTGTCTTGCCTTTGCCGATCCTGGCTGGTTTTGACATCTTCATCCGTTTGGCGTGCCTGTATTTTAAATGATGCTTCCTAGATAAGTGAAGCAGATGACCTCGAAGACTCTACTACCCCAACGACGACAAATAGGAGAAGACAAAGAAAACTATCAAACTCAAGTTTCAAAGTCGTGTGATTACAATTGATATAATTGTGAACAATAAATTGTGTTTGAAACATTTTCATCTAGTAAATAATACTGTTTCACTGTGTGATATATCTAATAAACAAACTAATATGGAATTTTAGGATTTCATCATGAGCTGACATTAGTTAGAGAACCATTGAAAAACCAGCTGGGAGTACTGGACAGCAGTTTCGTCCTAGTTTGGGACTCTTCACCAGTACGCACCCACCGGGATTCGAACCTAGGGTCTTCCGGTTACCAACCAATTAATTATTGTCTAAACGGACTTGGAACAATCTGGGCACCAAGTGGTGCATCACATTAAATATGGGCTTAGAAATTTTATGTGGACGCCAAACCGAATTAGGTGGTTGCTTTAACGGACCATACTCCTCGAGACTTTGTCTTGACGCCTGATTCATAAACTAACAGGGCAGAGTCAAGAACTGTATCTCCATGGTTTCCAGTGACCGAAACACGCATTATTTCCTTCTGAATTCAGGAGCCCATATACTCTGTAGCCTTTTCCGACTCCTTTTAGGTGGACTTCTAAGTCCTCCGTTTCGGAGATAAGCACTGAATATTTGTACTCGGTCGTTTTACTTGTGAGAATACCCACTGCCGTGTGGAGGCAGTGAATATGACTTACTTGGCGGAGGCGTTTCGAAGGGAAGGCCGTAGTCTACCCAACCTTCATTACAAATTGTCATTTATGGGGCCATTGTCGTGTTGGCTAAATATTTAAGTTGCTTCAAGTCAATCACTGATAGTCTTTGCCTATCTATCGGTTAGGTCGTGTAAATTAGTTATTGAAAATCTGTTTGCCAGTTAACAGTTCTTTTAGCTAGTTTTTTTTTGTTTTTTTGGCATAACTAAAGTAGTGTGAACGTTTTTCAGTAAAACCGTGAAATTTTCTCATCTTAAAGTACTAGTAGTAGTTGTTGTTATTTTTTGTTTATAATAAATATTCATAAAACACCTTTGGGAGATAAAACCTTTAGAGAAACTGCTGTAATGTGAACTTATGAACGGTTTCTTGAATACTCATTTATGTTCTTATATCTTCATATGTATGTGATTGCTTTCTATTCAATTTCGATATACTTTATTGGTAATAACTTGCGAGAAAGTACCAAAATTCTATTCTTTCCAAGTATCCTTCTGAGGTTGAGGTTAATCAACACTCAAGCAAGAGAGACATATGTACCAGGATAGTATGGCCTCATCTTTTATGATGAAAATGAGGACAAATTTCATTTTCTTCGCCTTGGTATCCAATCTGATATAGAAGGCGGTGAAATGATAAGGTACATCTACAGAAAAGAGACTTCGAGGGTTATTTATCTGAACTTCAAAAGCTTCTGCCCTATAAATTACAAAATGGGACTGGCGAGAGCATTGTTTGATTGTTTGAGAAAACTTTGCTCAGAAGAAAAGGTCGAGGAAGAGTAATCTACTGTGAAAAAAAAAATGCCTGCGTGATAATAATTACTCACAGAAGTTCATCGACAAACATGGGAAAGGTAGTGTTAAGAAGGTGAATTGTAGCACAGCAGAGAAAAAGTCTATCTTTCTACCGCTTGTCTACAAAAGTGATGATATTGCTAGTAGAATAAGATGCAAACTGAACCCTACCCTGAAAAGAGCATTATCCAGCTACCAAGCTTGCATTTGTTGTAAGACAATCAAAAAGGGACAAACTCACACCTCATGTTACCTTCAGCTGTGTCCACCTGTTTAAATGTACGTACCAAAGCATATATATTGGAAGAACAGAGGGAAGTGTTATTGTCCGCGTTTGTGAACACCTATTTAAGTACCTGAGAGTAAAGGGCTCACAGACACCATCTGTTGGACACTGATCATATTGTGGACAATCTGGACAAAATACACAACAGGCAAAGTTACCAACCAAGTTTATTATTTATGCTTGACTGAGACAATCTTCATCAAACGATTAAAGCCGACAGTGTATGTACTTAGAAGGGGACAGCAATGAATCTTGCACTACCTTGGTGTCCTAATTATTATATGATTAGTTAATCCTTTTTAACTCTTGGTGATTTAATAGCTTACATCATTCCAGATTTATGTTACTCTTAGTTCCTATCATTAATTACTCCTTGTCATCACGATACAAAAAAGAAGTATGTTCGAATCTTTATTGTAATTTATAAGTATTTCTGGTATTGTTCAGACTGCATGTAGCTAGTTAAGAAGAATCCTCGAAATAATAAAAGATATGAGGTTATATTATGCTGGTACACATTTATCATTCTCGCTCTGTTCAAGTTAATTAATGGGAAGGAGAATTGTATGAAGGCTTTAATTAACATCAGTTAAGGTAACGTAGGTAGTGAACACTCGTTTCGTTGTAAATCGTTACTCTTCAACAGTTTACATCTACATATAATGGAAGGTTTTATTCTCATTGTGATTATTTATTATTAATTCCTCTACGTTCTGAGTGGAACATAGAACTTCAAGCTAGAGTTTTGAAATTTTGGTGAAAATTTTCGTCGTTTCCCATTCACGTTCCACTCGAGTGATGGCCTGGCTCACGATGACATTTGACGCTCTCTTCACAGTGTGTACAAGCCATCTTGATTCCCTTCGATGTATTTGTTGGGTGATTGGTTCTTGGTTGGTTCGTCTCCAGAGTTTCTTGCCCCCAATTCATTTTGGTCAGGTCATCTGATGTCGAGTATCTGGCGAGGGCAGCTGTTGATAAACATTTGTCGTAGCCCGTTGGAAATGTTTTCCGTGACGCGCTGACCAAGTTCCTTACCAGTGTAGAAGCAGTGACTGACTTAACATTCGTGTTAAAAATCCGAATTTTGTTGTTTCTGCTGCGGTGGAGTGCAGGAGATTTCCAAACCGATTTCAGAATGTTGGTGTACCTTGCCTTTCCGATTCTGGTTTGGACATCGTTGTCTGTAGTGTGCCTGAAATTGAAACAATGTTGACTCTTCTGCTAGAGAGCATCAAAATTAACCACATCACTAACTTGACATTGTGTGTTAAACAGAATTCGATTCTTGTTTTTTTGTGCTCAATGCCGTAGATTCTCACAGTGATATTAGACTGATGAAGGCATAGTGAGCTAGCCAGTCCTAAGTCGAGAAAAGAGGGGATTTTGACCGTGGGGGCTATCCTACCTCATCACTACTGAAACTACAAATTACGGAGCAGTAAAGTGTCCGTCTCCAACGGTATTACGCTTGTTTTCACATTTATCTAAACATATCAAACAGTGAGTGTCTGCAGTCTTTTTTTTTGAACTATTTTATTATAAATTTCATACCGTACTCATGTGAAATCTTATCATGTCACATTCTTTTCGACCTTCGTTTTGTATCTTAGGTAGCAATAAATCTGCGTAAACCACCCAGCCTATTATCACTACTCAGGTCTTATTGGTATCCGTCTGCTGGTCAATCATCACAGTTATCTTCAAATCGTACAGAAGTATTAACACGTAGTTATTCAGAGGCGAGTGTTCAAACAGAATCTGAACAAAATGTTTATACTGTTACTGTTGGCTTTGGTGATCAGTACTCAACAGAACTTCAGTCAAAGGTAAGCGAGTTTTTTTTATTATTCTATAGTATTTCTTGATTGCTTGAATATATATATTGAATTAATTTTTAATTTTCAAAAGAATGTTTACTGAATAAAGAATATTCTTCACGATCATCTGCTCTTCATCAGGTTCTACAGTCTAAATAACATCGAATCAATAGTAATATCAATGGATCAGAGTTCGATAGCATCGATATAATACTATATGCTGAATATCAGAGAAATTAGGAAAGATAATAATATAAATTCATGAATTTATAGTCTCCACTGAAGGCCAACCGGCGTAGTAGTAGTAGTAGTGGTGACTGGACTTGCTTCTTCTGCACACAGAGCACTGGTTGTTTTAGGAGAATCGCGATAGCCTGTGCTGTTTGGAGCATATGGTACCTGGATGTTTTCGGAAATGTATTTGGTACCCGGTAGATGATAGGGAAGGATTCTTCAATGCTGGCTGGCTTTGTGGCCGGTATGGACCAGGTGGTATAGCCACACTGGTAGATGTTCCTGAGCGAACACGAAAAATAAAGTTCCTGAAGCTACGGCCAATATAACTGTCTCCAAAAGCGCAGTTGAATCGGTGGATACAATTAGAAGTGGCTAGTGGAAGTAAGTACTTCATTTCTGAGTTGAGGAATCACCATCGGTCGTGTAGAAAATATGACTTGCAGCTAGCTTACCAGCATTAAAAGTTCTTTGAATGGATTTTCCTAACTTGTTAGTAATTATTTCACTGGGTGCGTCACCCTTGAATTCCAGTCGTATGTATAAAGGCTTCTTATTTACAAGTGGAGAATAGTCCTTTTCTGCTTTCTCTGTCCTGTGTTTCTTGATGAACTTTTCTGGATAGTTATTACCCATTAGGGTGTCACATACAATTCTTAGTTCATCTTCAGTTATCTCTTCTGAGCATATAGCTCTAACCATATGGCTGAGGGTCCTTACTAAATTTCGTTTGTACTAGAGAGGAAGGGAGCCATGAACATGTGTATATTGTCCTGTCCATGTGCTTTTGCTATGCGAATTTCCCTTTATACTGTCATCTGGTTTTCTTGTAAGGAAGGACATCTAGGAAGGCAATTGTATTTTGGGATTCTTGTATGCATGTGAATCTCATAGGAGAATGTACTTCATTGAACTGAGCTATTATTGTACTCCTATCCGAATCATTATCACAAAGAATAAAGGTGTCATCTTTACAATGGCGATAAAATGAGAATTTTCTGATGAGGTTGTTCAAAGATCCAATATCTAGTTTATTTAATTCGGTTTCTGATGACATGTTGACTTCCAGTACTGACTCTTCAACAGAGCTATTTCGATGTTGTTCGGTCGATAGTTTCTTTTTATTTGTCAGCTGAACTGAACGGCATCTCACCACCTACTTGGATTACGGCTGGGTTAATGTGTAATATAACAGGGGTTTATATTAGCGTAACTCCTCCCAAAAGCTTAGAGACACAGATTTGTCAGCTGCACCTATTATCCCAGTTAAAAGTAGACGTCGATCCGTAATAGATGTAGTGGGAGTCTATCATGACGAATATAAAAGACAATGCAGCGAAGGAAATTTCATTTAGAGGATTTCATCGTGAGCTGACATCGGCTAGAGGACCACCGGAACACGTGGGAGTATTAGAAAGCTGTTTCTTTCTAGTTTGGGGCTGTTTATCAGTGCTCACCAATTTGGGTTCGAAACCGGGATTTTCATGGGACATAGAATTGGTTCACAGTGACTGAATAGTCTACGAGCTTGAATTGTTATCGGAAGGCCCTAGGTTCGAACCCCAGTTGTGAGTGCGTACTGCTTATGAGTCCTAAACTTGAACGAGACAGCTGTCCAGTACTTCCTGGTTTTCAGTGATATCACTCCGTGATCAAAGTCGAAGAACTGTGCGCATAATTCGAACACTTGAAACTGCGTATAGCGATCTTATGAATATCGTTACAAAAGAAGCTTAACCGTCTCAAGACACCGGATTTCGTAGTTCATTCATTGACTGTTATATGAGCTTCCGTGGAGTTCAGTGTTGCTTACCTTTTGCAAGTGTAAAGCTGATCAACCTGTGACGCATGGAGCTTTACGATACAGGATACATTCCACAGAATAGATTTCTGGTTGAGGTGTAGATGAGTTTGTAATGGAGTATCTGGAGAATTTGTCAGATATGCATTTAAATCGATACCAGTGAGTAGTATGAATCTTTCTTTTAAACTTTCCTGATTCAACTGAGAGCTTCTTGAATTCACTTGTTGAACTTCTTCTTCTTCTCATTTTGGTAAATGCTAATTTACTCTGTGAAGTCTGATCAGTTAGGTACCACCTCCATAGCGATAAGTGTAGTTTATAGCCAGGCATACAAACTTGAATGTAACTGTTAACTTGTATTTGCCGTCAATGGTATTGTATATGTAGCGTATATTCAGATGGATACTTGTCTTGTTTTTTTTTGTTTTCCTGCGCGTTCCCAGTGGAACATAGGGCTCCAAGCTAGATGCTTGAAGTTTCTGTAGCAGTGGTGATTATTTTTTACAGGATGGGGTTGCTAGCCTCATGCCAAACCTTCCCTCTTCACCAGTTTCACTACTGGCTTAGCGAGGTAAAGGAGTGCGCCGGTCGGGGATCGAACCCCGGACCATGTGCATGGTCGGTGAGCGTCCTAACTGCTATGCCACCGACGCACAATACTTGTCTTGTACTGAGTTTATTTGAAATGAATATTTATCACAGTAATTCCTCGCTCCATTGTTTAACAAGGATTGTTAGACATATATTTCAGTTTCTTAGATTTTACCACAGCCATAATTTCTAAGTGCCTCCTTTCGCTTTTAGGGAAATCACAAGAGTCACTTGATGGTGTGATAATTGACTGTTAATAGTGCTGCTTTCTCTACTCTTTGTCCTCTTCTAGACGGCCTATCTTCAAGCAATTAATTCACAAAGCAAAATTATTAATTCCTCTGCCATCAATGCTCCTCCACTTGATCATTGTAGTTCCTGATGAACTCTTTCATTCGTAGGAATCATACTACGTAGAAGGATACTAGATTTAGTCTTTCTTGAGTGTTTTTTTTTTGTATCACCAATATTACTCAAAAGGATTTTCTTTATGTTACAACATAGTAGGTGTTGACTAAAGGTTTCTCGTATGTTGGCATATTTTTCAAACACATTTAAATCATTGTGTCTAAATTCTAGTTCAGGTTGAGTTGGAAGCGTTTGAAAGGTCTGTCAATATGTTGGATATCTTTGGTTTTGACATTGATCTATATGGCGTATTGATTTCTTATTGGATAAGCTACCTAGTCAATTAGTCAGAACATTTCTCTGAACAGTGTAATTAAAGACTATGGGAAAAAAAAACCAGGAGTTGGCCAATACTTGCTACCGGGGAATAATCTCGTTGACTTGGAATATGCAGACGATATAGTCCTTCTAGGCGAAGACGCCGACGAAATGCAGAGTCTTCTAAACACCTTGAGCCGCAATCTACGAATGTTTGGCATGCGATTCGCTCCCGCCAAATGCAAGATGATGTTACAGGACTGGACTACATCGACGCCTAGTTTAAAAATAGGAAGTGAAGTGGTAGAGCACGTTGACCGCTTCACTTATTTGGGAAGTACCATCAGCCCCAACGGGCTGATCTCTGACGAAATCTCAGCACGAATACAAGGGGCTCGTTTCGCATTTGTTAGTTTACGCCGACTCTGGCGTAGACGAGATGTTCGACTATCGACCAAAGGGCGGGTGTACTGCTCATCAGTCATTTCGCTCCGTCCTCCTTTATGGTTGTGAGACCTGGTCACTGAGAGTGGAAGACATGAAAAGACTAGCTGTCTTTGATCATAGGTGCCTGCGTTCTATTTCCCGTGTAAAGTGGCATAATAAGGTGAGCAACATTGAGGTTAGACGTAGAGTTCTAGGTAAACAGGGGAAATCAATCGACGAAGTCGTGAAGCTACAAAGACTGAGATGGTTAGGACATGTGTTACGTACGCCAAGCCATCGCCTCCCTCGACGAGCAATGTTAGCGGATATAGGATCAGGCTGGAAAAAAGCTAGCGGCGGTCAAACAAAAACTTGGCATCAGTCAATGAAATCCACAACAGCCACGTAGAAAGGTGTAGACTTCCAGGCTGGGGTCCTCGGGACGGTAAAAGTCTATGGTTGGAAACAATTGGTGACATGGCTCAAAATCGTTCTCAGTGGCGCAGATGCATCCACTCCCTGTGACTAATAATCTTCAATGAAACTGTTTTGTATTTCTTTATTACTCCTTTGTCTCACACCTCTGCTCACTGTTTCTATTATGCTTTTCTTGTACTTTCTTCTCTTGCTTCGCGTGATACACGGAATGTGGCGACTTGAACTTCCGCACATTTGTGCAAAGTTCTATGTCGAAAACAGACAGACAGACAGACACCCATTTCAAGTCGTTTGTTCCATGTTGCGTACAAACGAAATCTCATCAGTACCCTAATGATGCCAAAAGAAATCTGCACAATCGAAACTCTAGGCGATGAATTAAAGAAAATAGAAAACATATTATATGAGGACAGATATCCAGAGAAGTTTGGTAATGTCTGCATGATGGGGACAGATAAGGAAAAATGCTTGTCAACTGTTCAGGAGATATTTAAAAGACAGTGTGGATCAAAAGATTCAGATATAATCGAGGGGAAAGTGAGTAGGACAATAACTACCGGGACAACTATTCTAAGTCGGGGTTGAAGTTCATGGGAAAGAGAGGGATTGAACAAACCTTTTCTGAACACAAAGACTGCACTGAAGAAACTATAACTACTGACTCAGCTATTCTTAACAACCGAAGGTGTGCAGACTTCGGGAATTCGGGTAGTACCACCTTGTATAAAATTGTAAAAAAGTGAATTGTCTCATTAAATCTTGTCATGCGTATTCACGAGGTGCGTCAGCCAATATGAAACTCCTAAGTGACTTTACATATATAGGACTTTACCGTTCAAAGGAGACACCC